CTTGTAGATCTGCCTGTAGTTTTCAATACAGTTGATCCAAAAATGCTCTTCTATTAAAATACAAAGAGTTGCTTCATCTAAGATCGCTTATCTATGTGATTTCCCTCACTTTGGCTCCATGCTTTTCACTTCTTCTGGTGTTTGTGTAGTGTTTTTCATTAAAACACCTAATCGTGGTTAGTGTTTTAGAGAAGGGGCAAGTGATACATGAGGAGGTAGATGTGTTGAGATGAATTGTTTGAGAAAGTGATAGTTCAGTGGTTAGGTTGAGGTGGGAAAGGCTTCCCTGAAGAGATGAGTCTTAAGGGATCACCTAAAGGCAGTTAGAGTGGTGGGAGATAGTTGGACAGGTTGGGGTAAAGAGTTTTCCGCAGCCGGGACAGATCCTGACAATACTGTCGAGATCCACCCAGCTAGCTGATTGACAGCAGGCTCTGCCTATCTACAGGCAGAGCCAGCTATGCCCGCTCCCTCCCCCGTCCGGTCCTCTACTTAGCGCTGGAGGATCGGAGGGTGGGGAGGAATCCCTGCGGGGATCGGTGACTTATAGTCACCGCTCTCTCCATGGAGATGATCGGGAAGTGAGTGAGCAGCAGTATGTGTTTGATCACTACCTGATCTATAGAGCCGACGTGTGACAGTTTTAATGTCGCAAGTCGGCTCTAACTATGAGAATGAGTGTAAATCACTCACCTCATAGTTATCCTTTGATAAAGAAATTCTAAAGTACTAAGAAGTACTAGGGTAAAGCCTAGTATGGAAGCATTACAGGGAGTGGGAATTCTCCCTTCATAACCCCTTGGGTGTTATCGTGTTGAGGTTTGAATCTGAAGGTCACCTATGGGGCAATGACTGTGGTTTTTCTGTTGGCGGCTTGCTGCATACTCTGCTGAAAGTATTCAGGTGAACTGGTAAGTGGTCCTTTAGACCCATCACTCACATGAATCAATTTGCTGATCTGTAGTCTTGGTACACTTCAGTTCAATCTAGTACCGTTTGCATGTAGTTGATGGTCAAATCTGTCTTGCTACTTCTGACCTCTTTATCTAAATCTCTTTCTCATAAGAGTCACAGTTGATTATATACCAGTTGCAGTACAAACCACAAAGCAAGTGAAAAAAATGATTATTTGGTATTTCCTGAAATATATGGAGCCTTCTGCCTCCTCGTAACATCCCCTGCACCCCCACAGTTGTTTTGCAGAATTAAACCACAAATGCCCCAGAAGTGGCCAGAAAAGAGAACTGACAGAGGCAAGAGTTAGTATGATCTGTACATTTAAATGTAGATTGCACCCCTCACCATCATCTAACATTGCTGCCATAAGTGCTGGCCCACAGGTGCCATTCTGGTAAATACAGCCGTATTCTAACATATGAAGCACTCTGCAGTATACTTCCTTTTATCACTTAAGCTCTTTGTACAGTAGTCACCCCCACAGAACTTGCTCCACACAACTTGTTACTTTCTCCCTGATGAACATTTCTCAATCTAGCCCCCTGGTCTGCTTGTCTGTTCTGTGAAACTTTCTTCTGCTTATCATCAGTCATTCACTTCCCTCCAAGAAAACACACTCTGAAAAAAAAACATCTTTTCCTAAAGGCATATAGCCTCTAATCCACCACCTAATATTCCCTGATGTAGTTGTTGTGAAGGTTGAAGTACAAATTGGCTGCTTGAAGGGGAGAGCAGAGTGATGTCTCATTAGTGTGTCGCTGCTCCTTCTCCATTCAACAGGATAGGGGTGTGTTCTTTCCAAGCTGTGCAGCTGATGCAGTGAAGTCAAGGACCTGGCTGTGCTTTCTGGTAGGAGTGCCTAACTGCTCAGTATTACAAATCCTTTGGCTTTTATAACATCCCCCATGTATATATTCTGACTATTTATTGTCTTTTTGTAAAGCAAACATCTACTGCTGCCACAACTGCTACATTTACCGTGCCTTTTATAGCTTATTTTTCTATTTTTAGTTTATCTTTTGGGCAGAGTTTTAACTGCGTTCATGTTCTTGTGTAATGCTATTCATGTAGCCCTGCATGCCCTCCTTTTATACCAGTGTGGTATAAAGTATAGGTTCTACATAAAACAATAATAACAATGCTAAGGATAAGTTAACTTTTAGTTGTGACATGCATGAAACAGATGAACAGTACAGAAAAATCAGCATTTAGCTTCTTATTTTTTTTTTTTTTATAAAGGAAGGTGCTTTCCTGGACATCAGTAGGGTGAAATGGAAAGTGATCAATCCATGGAACCTGTCACCTTGGACTGTCTACAGGCATTGAGTTATTAACTCCAACTTGGAGAATTTCGCCCATACATAATAATCATTTATCATGTCTCTTTTAAAGGATTATGAAGTAATGCCTTAAATTTAAAACCGGTCATAAATAAATGGGGCTGCTGTGGATGGGGTAGAGTGAAGGAAAACAAAGATATACAGTATATGTAAAATCAACAAAAGAGGATGTAAATGTAGGAAATGTGATACAAATGATGTAAGAAAAGTATAAAAAGGTGGACTTTCTATTATATTATTTTTCAGTAAGTTAGGGAATTCATTGGCTTTTGCTGTATATTTTATAAGCTCTCTACCGTTTGGTGTCTATTTACCCGACGTCACCCCGTCTTTTATATTTTACCAAAAATATGGGTAAGAATAAATATATTTTTTAACATAACGAGGAGAAAACATTTTTTTTCCCAAAACTAAAGGTACTTTTTTCATCATATAGTAAAAAAGAAAACCCCCCAGTGGTGATTATATACCACCAAAAGTAAACCATAAATTGCAAGGCTATAGTCAGGTCATGCTTTTTGACTGACTGGCGAGATGAGACACCCTAAAAGTTTTCAAGCCCTGTGCATATACACTGAGTGGCCAGATTATTATGACCACCTGACATTTGTAGGCAAATTAGTTATAATTAGCTATAATTTTGCGCTGAAGTTGCTAGAGTGCCAGACCATTATAAATAGGGAAGCAGGTTGTTTACCACGACAATTGACGTGGTTTTTTTCTGAAGATATGGGTAAACAACGCGATTTAACAGCCTTTGAACGTGGGATGATTGTTGGCGCTCAGAGCCATTGAGCGAGTATCAGCAAAACAGCAGAATTCGTTAAATGTTTAAGAGCAGCTGTTGAAGTGTTTAAAGACTGGACTGTCAGACAAAAATCTGGGTCTGAACGTGCGAATTGTGGCCTTCAGTGACTAGTCAATGTTAGGGCAGAACGGAGAGTGGCAAGTCTGGTACAAGACCACAGAAGGGCAACAGTGCAGTGTCAGATTCCTCGCATCACCTTTCAACATCTCGTGGAGTCACGAGGCGGCCCAACGAAGTATATATACACATACATACATACATACATACATATATACAGGGGCGTATCTGCCGCGAGGCAAACAAGGAGTTTGCATCGGGCGGCAGATTTCAGGGGGGGCGGCCCCAAAACAGCAAGGCGAGCCGGGCTGCACGAAATAGAGCAGCATCGGCTGCCTCATGAACTCACGGAGGCGGCGAGCAGGGGAAGGAGGAGGCGGGTTCTACACTCCATATGTCATGCTGCCATCTTCTTTTATTATAAAGCTGGTTCATGGGTTTGTACAAAGCCAAACGGTTTTAACTGTCCCTGCTCTTTATCATACAAACACAAAAATTTCCCTGCACACATACCAGCTAGCTTGCAAAAAAATAAAGCTTAAACTGTCTCACTGTTAAAAACAGAGGTATTAATTGCACAACTTTTTCAAAATATGTAGAAGCCACACGGCCTCGTCAAGGCCCCTCTGTATTGTGCGGTCCCAACTGTAATCTATGAGAGGTTCCATCTCGGAGCATACATAGCAGTAGACAAGTTTATGCATGGATCTAACCCATCCCTCCATAAAGGCACAATTTTTGTGTTTGTATGTGGAAAGCCCTTTCATGTACATCTTATTTTGAAAACGAGTGCCCGCTTTTCATCTGATGCAAAAGGTAATCGGCTATGCAAACCCTGGCAGTTAATTCTAAACCCGAGCGGAAGTTACACAGGCATATTCCCAGAATCACCTTCTTTTCAAACATCTCTGTTCCTACACCACAAAATACAATAATGGTAAGGGATAAGGGACAAGTCAATCAGTGGAGTCAATGCTGATGAGTCATTGAGCTGTGTAAGCAACAGGCGTCTTCCATTGAAGGAGCAAACGGAGAGCCTTTAAAACTCATAAGCTTCAACTTATGGCTCTGGAGCAGACAACAAAATATGAATATGGTATATATGTCTAAGAAAGTATTCTTCATATTTTTATTTTCTTCATATTGGTCATTTAGGATGTTATTTTGTTATTTTCAGTTCTTCGGAAGCTGACTGTCCATGGTTTTACAGAACCCCACCAGAATGCGGAAATTATGGTAAGAAAATTTAGTATGGTAATTCCTTGGATTTTTATGGCTGTCATACATCTGAGTCTCTATTAATAGGGCTTCACAAAACACAGGTGCTGCCTTACCAAGGGGCCTTAAAGATGGATACCGCAGCCTAACTCATGGGGAAAAAACTGTGGAGCGAAATGGCTGGCATTAGCATCTTTTTCACCAAATAATTTGTAATGAACCTGTCTTACTAAAGGCATTGTAGAGAACCTGTCAATAAACTTAAAAATAGCAGGTGGGAACACCGAAAGATCAAGTATTTTAACTGCCCTTTTGCTGTTGTTTTTTTTTTTTTTCCTTTTTATAAATGCTTTTTGATTTATTTGCAATGTGATTGATTGATTTTCTATATTTTAATCTATCCAAGTTTGGAGATGCAGTTTTGATTGTGCTGCTGATTTTGAGTTTAGAATTGGTAATCAATCAGTAAGCCAAGAACCTAAGTATAGTTTGAAACAGTTATTAGGTATGCCCAAAATGGGATTGAAGGAAACTCATGACTCAGGACAAAAGTGTGGAACTCCCTTATGCTAATTTGTATGACTTTTAAAGGAGAACTACGAGGTGAGTGCTTTTCACTCATCCTCATAGTTCTAGCCGACCTGTGACAATGAAACTGTCACAGGTCGGCTCAGTAGATCGGGAAGTGAGCGAACACATACCAGCGCTCGCTCACATCTCGATCCTGTCACAGCACAGAGCCGTGACAGGAAAGGGACTGGATTCCCCGCTCCGATCCTACAGTGCTGATGGGCAGAATGGACGAGGGAGGGGGCGGGTACAGCTTGATCTGCCTCTAGATAGGCAGAGCCAGCTGTCACTCACGCAGCTGGGCCGATCCAGACATAATTGTCGGGATCCGCTTCAGTTGCGGCATCTCAGTATACTGCGAGCTGCAGCTAGTTTGTGTCCTCCCGTTAGCCTAAGGAGAACTATGGGTAAAAGCCCTAACCCCATAGTTCTCCTTTAAGGTAAACAGCCTAAAGGTTATTTTTGAGTAAAAGTATGTATAAAAGGACGGGGGATGATCCTTCCACACACACTGCCACACACACTGCCACACACACTGCCACACACACTGCCACACACACTGCCACACACACTGCCACAGACATACATACAGACACACCCCCACACTCACATTGAATAGACAGGCACCTGTTAGGACTATTTTTTACTTACTAACTAAAGACACGTTTTTCTTAAGCATCTTATATACTTCTGCTGTAAGATATACTATATTTTGAATTCATCAAGCATCTTATGGACTCATTCTGCAAGATATACCATATGCTGTAATCATTTTTAACTTTGCAATTAAAACACATTTTGAATTTATGCTAAAACGGAAGCAATCTTCTCTTTGAACTTCTTCCACCCTATGCTACAAGAAGAACACCGGGCATACATATTCTTAACCCTTGCAGTCAGGCTACCCCTGCATTGCAAGGGTTAAGTGCTCATTTTTGTCTAGGGATGAAAATTAACAAAGTTATACTCACCTAAACCTCAGAGATGGCTGGCTGCTAGACCGGTCCCTCCAGCCTGCTCCTTCCCTGTTCCAACAATGGTATGTCCCTTGGAGTCCTCACGTCCTATACACTGTATAGGACATGATGAGTCACAGGATCTTAGACTGCCAGAGTGGAGAGAAAGGGAGGACCCAGGATCTGGTCTAACAGCCAGTCCGCTCCGAGGTTCAGGTGAGTATAACTTTGTTATTTTCAGCCAAGGTTAAAACGAGCACTTAAAAGAGAACTATGGGGTAAGTGTCTTTCCCCATAGTTCTCTTAAGGGTCACGGGAAGACATATACTAGCGTCCTCCCGTGACCCAAAGCTCAGTATATTGCAAGCTACAGCTCGTGGTATACTGAGACGCCACAGTCGGGACGGATCCCGAAATTACTGTCGAGATCCACCCAGCTGCGTGAGTGACAGGTGGCTCTGCCTATCTAGAGCCAGAGCCACCTGTATCTGCCCCCTCGCCATCCGTTCCTCCAGTCAGTGCTGGAGGATCGGAGCAGGGAGGAGGGAATCCCTGTGGGGAGCCGTGAGTGACAGTCACGGCTCTCTGCAGGGAGATGTTCGAGAAGTGAGCGAGCGACAGTATGTGTTCGCTCACTTCCCGATCTATTGAGCCGACGGGAGACAGTTTCATTGTCACACGTCGGCTCGAACTATGAGGCTGAGTGATTTTCACTCACCTCATAGTTCTCCTTTAACCCTTGCAGTGGGGGGGGAGCCCCTTTGCAAAAATTAAGAATTGGTATGCCTGGAGTTCTCCTTTAAATATACCATTAAGGGCTCTTTCACACGTGTGTTGATCATTTTTTGACAGAGCAACGCTGATTAATGCACCTTTAGTGTTTAACAAGGCATCCTGCAGGCATTTTCAAAGAATTACGGAGGCATCAAAAACACTTGCAAAATGCCTGCAAGTTGGGGAGTGTTATTAAAGGGGAAGTGATGTAGTAAAGGGAAGTGACCAGCAGTGGCTACACTTCTATATTTTTGAAGGAGTCGCAGTAGCTGGACAGACATTTCTGGGTGTTACTCAACTGCTTGAATTAGCCGTGCAACATTTTTTTCTGATATATTTCAGACTGGAAGCCGTCCTCTAGTTGGGTAAACACTAGCTGTGACATTCACATTCACAAAACACTGGCTGTGTGCAGACAGGAAGTGTCATCTTCACCTGTCCAGTCTACTCGTATGATTCCCCAGTGGTTTTGGGATTGCAAAACCTCCTATGCCTCTCCTAAACACCTGTGCGAAGCTTCTTTAAATGCCTGAAAAATGCTGTAGGAACATTGACCGAGCATTTGAGGGGCATTTCAATATACTTCAAAGGAGGCTTTTGTCCAGCGGCAATGCCTCCAAAACACGACATGCACTCTATTTTTTTGGCACACTCAACACAACATAACACTAACGCCCATTTGTGAACAGCACTGGGCGATTGCTATTGCTGTATCCCACATGGGCGTTTATAGGCGGCAGAGAGGTGTTAAAACTGCTACTCTAATGCCTGGTTTTAACACGTGTGACAGAGCCCTGAAATCGTTTTATGACTTTTCCATAAGAGTAAAAAACCCAAAACACCTGTTGATCTTGCCAGAAACCTTATCAGTGGATAACGTGCTGTTCTGTACTCTTTACCATTGATCCATGCACATAACATGGGTCGAGTTAACTCAGTTTTTTTGCGATGGAATAAAAAACTAAACAGACAGGAATGTAACAAAAGTGACATTCGTTCCGTACTGCTCGGATCAGAGGGAGATCTGTGCAGGGATCCCCTGCTGATCGGAATCGACATCGCCTCTGTGAAAGGGGCCTAGACTTCAGGACGTTTTATTATCACACAAATACCAGTGCATTCATAAGCGTTGCTCTGTCATAATTCTGAATCATAGTTGGTCTCTGTTAGTTTGGTACATATCTATTTAATGGAGAACAATTATTTCATTTTAATAGGTTCACTTCTTTGCTTCAATTAGTTCTTCTAAAATATATATTACTTTGTAAAGCAAGACTGATCACTAACTAAGCTACTATTTTTTTGTAAATACCCCCCCCCAATATGTGTTGAATATACAGTATATTGTGTCTCTGACTTTTCCCTAAGCGATGTTCTGTAAGCCAGCTGTACATAAATCTAAATGGTTCTGTAGAGAAAAATACAGATAATGCTCCCTTAGTCTTGCTTGGTCCCTGTTTGATTAACACTGGAAATTCCAGGTTCCATCAGTAATATTAAAGTAACCCTTCTCTCCTTTTCACATATAAACTAATGATTTTCAGCAGAACATTTGACTTTATGTTTCCTCTAGTGAGTACTTGTACTCGCGTGTTATATATGTGTGTGAATGAATCTGCCCATCACACTCCCAACAGATCTTGCTTGTGAAGTTCACACAGCTTTAGATTAACTACGTGACCCTGCAAAGCGGTTTTATTGATAAGCTGAATGGGCTGTATCTTCCTTACAATTTTAGCTCCTGTCTGGCTTATTTTTGCAGATCTGTCTAAGATTTCCTGCCGTCATCTTTCCCTGCTGTTATGGTCTTTACGGAAGACAGAATGTGATAATTTTTTTGTCAGTTTACAGCTGAGTGACATACTGTTAATTGACTATTAGAGCCCTACCTACATGATAAAAATGTTATTATGGGTAATTAGTTTCTATTAACACACTGTGTTTAGAGAATTCCAAGTATCTGATCTGATGGCCCGCTGTGTCATTGAGATATGATGCAATGTCCACTGCTTGAAAGGGCTCATAGAAAAAGCTTGAGAACTACCATTAAATGTGCACTATAGATAAACTAGCCAAAGTCAATGTATAGTTGGCACAATTAGCTATTCGTTCCACCTTATTCAGATCTGTCTGAAGGCCCCGCTTATAGCAAATAAATCATATTTCTGTATGTAGGGCACGTGTACATTCCCTCGGCTTGCCATAATGTCAGTGCTTGTCAGTGCTTCAGTATCCAATCGCCAGCCTGGGGTTTTATTAGGTGGCAAACTGGGTAAAGTCCTATGCAAATACAGATTTTCATAGAGTCATGCATGAGGTTGTTGTGGGCCTTAGAGGCCTACACAGGCCTTAGATCTCAGTTGAACATAGCACATTTGAAATGAGGTGGAACAAGAGGTTTGCATTAAGAATGTGTGGCTGACTGATCTTCAGGTTGTTTTGAGTCCGCATAGTCTCAGATGTCAAAAGTCAAGCATTTCTATTACCTTGCTAAATCCATGATGTGAAGATTGCAGCTATTTTGAAGACATCTTACTATATAGTTATACTCTTAGCTAGGGCTGCAGCTAACGATTATTTTCATAATTGATTAGTTGCCCGATTATTTGTTCAACTCTCTCTCTCTCCTTTTCTCTCTCTCCCTTTCCCCCTCTCTCTCTCCCTCTTCCTCCCCTCCCCATCTTATCGATGATGAGAATTGTTGCCAACCATTCTCATTATCGATTATAATCGATTAGTTGTTGCAGCCCTACTCTTCGCTGTGGGGATGTATTTCCTGTATGTCTTTAGCTGTGAGCTCAACAATAACAGCAAAGTATACCCATACACAAGCAGGTCGTTGCAGCTGGTGTGGGTGATAAATATGACACCTATAGGCTTTGAGCTTACTGTTGGTCCATTCAGCCTCGTACACAGCTTCTGTTGTGTTTTCTTGTTTTTTGTAAGAGGCTAGTATTAATTATTTGGTCAGGATGCATTTATTAGGTATTACATATGCTGGCAAAGGACTTGAAATATAAAATAGTAAAGAAATTGTATTGGTATGTTTAGTAAGTAAGCCAACCAGCTGCTTTTTGATCACTCCCATTGTTTTAAATTAGGGGAAGCACAGATGGTTATGAGTGGGTGAGATCCATAGGATGTTACAGGGAAAATCAATTTACTGCCTTAAAGGAGAACTATGGGGTATACTTTTTTTGTGTGTGCAATTTTTTGTTTCCTTATGATACAGGAATACATTTTACAATGTACTCCTGTAATCAAAAATGCACCATAAGCTTACAATTCAGTATAATATACTGTGGGCGGGGCTAAGCTCTGTGCTGAGAAGCTATCTGCACGTTCCTGAGAACCTATGCAAGCATAGCAGCTCAGGGCACATCCTATCCAAGTTAACGCTTGCACATCTATCCTGCAGTTTGTTTTTTGTTTCCCCCTCCCCTCTAGGAGCTGCTGCACGTTCATGAGATGCTGTAGAGCGCAGCAGCTCAGGGCACATCCTATCAGAGTTAACACTTGCAGATCTATCCTGCAGTTTCTCTTTCTTTCCCCCTCCCCTCTCTCCTCCACACTGCTGTCTCCAGACAATACACATACCACATCATTACTAAGGTCGTCAGTTCAGCTTCGTTCTCGTGTCCTCACCCACATCACCTCTGCTGTCTTTAACCCTTTTTCTTCCCATGTATGTCCCAAGACAGCAGAGGTGAGGAGGGCGATGAAACGAGAACGAAGCTGAACTGATAATTTTAGTGCCGATGTGGTATGTGTATTGTCTGGAGACAGCAGTGTGGAGGAGAGAGGGGGGGAGGGGGGGGGGGATGACAAAATGCATGATGGATATGCAAGTGTTAACTCTGATAGGATGTGCCCTGAGCGGCTGCGCTCTACAGGATCACATGAACGTGCAGCAGCTCCTACAAGCTGCTGTCACTCAAGGGCAGAGGAGGATCTCAAAAATGTTGTCACATAGCTTCTCAGCACAGAGCTTTGCCCCGCCCACAGTATATTACACTGAATTGTAAGCTTATGGTGCATTTTTGATCACAGGAGTACACTGTAAATTGTATTCCTGTCTCGTAAGGAAACTAAAAATGCAATAAAAGGTGAACCCCATAGTTCTCCTTTAAGGCTAAAAATTAGGGCTGGTAATGATTAAAATGTTCCTGTTCAATTAATCATGTGACGTCGATGTCCGTGACGTCGCCGGATCTCCGACGGAAGACCCGGAAGCCGGCAGAGAGGTGAGTACGAATCAAAAGAACTTTGATCGATCAAAATAATTTTGATCGATCAAAAAAATTAACGATTAATCGAGGGATTAATCGTTAATTTCCGCAGCCCTACTAAAAATTAATTTTGCTTGCAGCATCCTATGGCTCTCCCGCAAAAAGGTGTACCCCATAGTTCTCATCTAAAGCAGACAGTCTGCAAGTGTCATTGGGTAGTACAGTGTAACAATGTATTGTTACACGATATTTACTATTTACTATTTTATTCATACTGTATGTAGTTGAAAGCTGTGACCTTTTATCTGCATAAGACATCAGTTAAAAAACTTTACTAGTAATAAATAATGAAATCTAATCATATTAACCTTAGCCCATGCTCCCTTTTTCTGCTTTTTTAAAATTTAATTTCTTATTTTTTACCATACATTTTTTTTGGTTTCTATTGGATTTGTTTGTTATTTTTTTCAGTGTCCCAAAAGCGCACAATTGGGAAAAACAAAAATTGCTTATTTTTCATTTGCACATAACTGCCCCACTTGTATCAGCAACATCTTTTTAGTGTATTTTTAAAAAGGGCAGAATATAGAATAAAATGTATACTTTGCCACAGTAAAACTAACAGTTGTAAAATTGGAAAACAAATTATTTTTTTTAATTTTTGGGGGGGTCTGTTGATATAAATACATAGAATGTAAATTACATTATTTACTTATTTAGCCTAAGGAATGCATTCATAAAAAAAAGATAGAACCCCATAGTTCTCCTTTAAATATTTTTTTACAAGACAATATTGCTAAAATTAAGTCTAATTTGTCCCCTCAAAAACAATGTATGTATTACTTGAGTAAAAACAAAGTTATTACTTAATAAACAGGCCCATAGTGGAAATGTAAAAAAGTTAAAAATTGCTCTATAAAGGGTAGAAATGTATGAAAGCTGAAGTGATTAAGGGTTTGTTTGTGGGAAGCTCTGCACAAACCGTTGGCACTATTTAAATCCTGTATTATAATAATAATAATGATGATTAGGTGTACTATAAGTAAAAGATCCATTTTTTTGGATTATATTTTTTAAATTGTGTGTAAGGTAAACTAGTCTAACATCGCTGTCAAACTTTCATTCTCTACTCTATGCTTTGACATTTTTCTAATGATTTTTACCTTAAATGTCTCTCATTTTAACAGCTGATAAGCACTTTCTAAGCTTAATTCCTTAGCTGTTCCATTGATGTCATCAGCTGGCCATTCAGCCTGCATACAGTTCTGAGAATTTGGATGGTGTGCAGAAAAGGTTGCACTTATGAGACAAGATAACAAATCACCAGCACATTCATGTCACCCCGGTGTCATCCCTGCAGCCTCAGTGTGGTGTAGCTTGATGAAAATGTATGACGGTGTCATATATATTAATATTTATTTCTCTTTTTTCCTGCATAGGGTTTTCTTCATGCAGTATTTGATCGCCTGAGGCAGTTCTTAGAGTGCTGTAAGTATCTGATGTATAGATTATCAAAAGTTTCCCTGGTCGATTTTTATGTGGGCCCTCATTAGCCCATTTTTCCAGTCAAATGTGGTTTTCTTTGCAGTGAATTGATAACTATACTTTTTATTTTATTTCTACACTTTAAATGAATCCAGTACCCCATTCCATCCCATTTCCATAGTGTTATACTTGCCTGGCCATGAGATTCACGCAATGGGGCCGACAAGGAGCCCTTCAGCTGATTTTGTAAACGCTCTATCTGCTTGCACAGAGAACGTCCTATTGAAATGCCATCTATCATTGGGACACGTAATAGATGGCCTTTCCATGGGTCTCCAAGGGAATTTTTTCTATACATGTGCAGAAGAAGCAAAGGACTAACAACTCTACCACTCTCAGTGGGCCGCACAGCGTGGATCTCATTGCAGTCTGGAGAAGTGTGTCTAAAACCTCAGGGGGGAGGGGGATGACGTAAAGTATAATTATACAAACTTAGAGTTATCCTTATACAACGACATGGTGAAGAAGTAGAATTAAAATATCCAATGTGTTATGTTTTTCTTAAAAAAAAAACTCTATCTCGCGCTCTCTCTCGCGCGCTCTCTCTCTCTCTCGTGCGCGTGCTCTCTCTCGTATCCATCTATAATTATAGTATAATTATAAATTATCTAGCTGTCTATTGGTCTATCTACTAAGAACAGAGATATTTGAGATTTTGAAGGTGCCAATAACATCATTACTTATCTCATCTCATCTTACTCATTATCCGCCAAGGTGCCAATAACATCATTACTTATCTCATCTCATCTTACTCATTATCTATCTATCTATCTATCTATCTATCTATCTATCTATCTATCTATCTATCTATCTATCTATCTATCTAGTTGTCTCTCTCTCTCTCTCCGTTATCCATGTATAATTATTGTATAATTATAATCTATCTAGCTGTCTATTTGTCTATCTACTAAGAACAGAGGTATTTAGGATTTTTAAGGTGCCAATAAAAATCAACAACATCATTACTCATATTTATCTATCTATCTATCTATCTATCTATCTATCTATCTATCTATCTATCTATCTATCTATCTATCTATCTATCGATCGATCGATCGTAAATACTAAAACATAGACATTCCATCCATTTGCTGCAACGCATTAATGAATTAAGAAATGACATCCGCAGGCAATCTCCAATTGATTGTGTGTGTTTGTATGTGTATGAGACTGAACTTTGTATACTAGAGAAAAAAAAAACAGCACACAAATGGGTCTGTGACTGCCATTTCATACGGATCGATGCTATGGATCCAAAGTTATTAACCACTGAAAATAGGGGTTATAGGAGGCTTTCAATGAAATCTTAACTATGGAAACAGCTATCCATAGCTCTGTAATACAGGGTGTGACATCGCATGTAATATTCTTCAAGCTAAATTAAACTTTGACCAAAGCTGATCCCTCTGTATTAAAGATCCACTCCAGTCAGAATGAAATACTAAGCCTTGGAATCAATACAGGGGACACAACCTACCTGTCCAGAGTTCCTGCATTTTTTTTTCTCTAGGAATTCTTGTAGTGCACCACGCCACCCCAGTACTTAAAGTGTCCGTGTTGGCAGTAGTTGAGTGTTCTCGAAATGCAGGCTTCCATTCCAAATTGCAAATCTGTGCAGACAGGTATCTTCAGCCTTTTAAAACTTCCTTGATGCTGGCACTATGGTTTTCTGGGAATACCTATTGCTGAGCCACAGGAATATGCACACCTCTTACTGTCATACTTGCCCACAGTTGTTGCCATGCTCTTTCTCACACAGAAAAAAAAGGTTGCCGTGCAGCACAGAATGATGTATTGTTATTTAGCACCATATATCAGGGACTAGCAGCATTAAGGTGCACTTGGATAGCTTCAGTACCATTGCTATAAAGAGGAAATAGCAGACCACTAGCAAAAAGTGTGAACCATATCCTAGTGAGAGGCAACAGTTTTTAATAACAATGCTGCTTTTAATTTGAAGCAGTAGGGGCAATCTCACTTCAACAGGAATGGACAAATGAATATGGAATTCAGGAGCCTGTCTATCCGATGCAGGAACCAGCAGGAGTATTTTAGGCATCAGCTCCATTTACAACAACTAGAGTAAACCTCAAAAGTTAGGCGCCAGTTGTCATTTTTAAGGAGCATTGGCGACTTGGCTCCTGGGATTTGTCAAGTCCTGCTTCAAAATGAATCTGTTTTCTGCTCATGCAGTCAAAGCAATGATGAATTTGAGACCTCTGTACTTCGAACGGGTCTCAGCTTTGCCCCCAACTCCTCTCCCAACAATTTTTCTATTTTTCTTGATTTACACAGATTTATACGTAGACTCACCCTTCATCGCCACTTTCTATTGAAAAATGCCAGATCTATTCCACCGACACTGACATCACCTGGACACTGTCCAGAGTTAGACACAGGGTGTGATGAGCAGACTCTTAGCGATCTTGAAACATTATGGGACGGCATGGAATTTACATCCGACACCCTACCCAACATCGACCCAGACATCCGACACTCTAATTTTAGACCACAGTCTAACTTCTATCCCTACCACTCCAAGGGGAGTTTTCTCTCCACCTTTTATCAACTAGTACATACTGACTTTAGAAAACTGTGCTCTAAAAAAGGAGGTAGAATTAGCAATCTAACTCATAAAGAAAAAACAGCTATTAAATCCCTCTGTGATAACACGGATCTAGTCATTAAACAGGCTGATAAAGGTGGGGGCCTAGTAATTCTCAACAAGACCGACTATATTAATGAAGCCATTCGATTGCTGTCAGATACCACCACATATGTCCAACTACAAAACAATCCTACCAGGGACTTCAAAAATAGATTGGATGAATTACTTAATAAGGCCCATTCCTCAGGTATACTATCAAAGTCTGAATATAAGTTTCTTCTGGTCCACCACCCATGCATTCCTTACTTCTATCATATCCCCAAAATCCACAAACATCCCACCAGACCACCTGGCAGACCCATAATAGCAGGGATGGATAGCCTCACCTCCAACCTGGCCAGTTATATCGATTTTTTTCTTACAACCGCTAGTGATTGATCTTCCTTCCTATGTCCGGGACTCTGGACATATTTTGGAAATCCTTAAAAAATACCAGTGGAGAAAAGGATACCTATGGGCATCTTTGGATGTAGCTTCTCTCTACACCTCCATAGAACATCAGCTTGGCCTCAGAGCAGTTCAGCACTTCATGGCCAAGTCGGGGAACTTTAATTCTTCCCAAGCCAATTTCATCCTGGAGGCCATTGAGTATGTGCTGACACACAATTATTTTTCGTTCCTAGATAACTATTACATGCAATTAAAGGGCACTGCCATGGGTGCAAGTTTTGCTCCATCCTATGCAAACTTGCTCATGGGGTACTGGAAGGAACATCACATCTGGTCCAATAACCCCTTTGGATCCTCCCTGAACAGCTTACACCCCAGCAGTCTCAATGAGGGCTTAGAGTTGGTGTCCTCCCTTTAATTGTCTCATACCAAGTCAAGCCTAGCCTTCACACATTCCCCTCCAGTCCTTTTTAGTCCTTGTTTTACATACTTTTTATATACATTCTCATATACCATTGATACAGACATTTATTTTAATTTACTCTTAATTATTGTAATTTATTTCGTTTTTATCCAGCCTTGACATATTTGCTACAGATAGTATCTTTCGGTTTATTTATGAATTATGTTGATCTGCACCAGGAAAGGCGCCCCCTCTGTTTTCTTTTCCCAGGGCAAAGCAATGTGTTCACTTTAATGCCGACCCTCCATAGATGCATGTACTTACCTTTCTTGCCTGCCCCACTACTTCATTTAGCCGGCTGGAGTGAAAGGAAAGTTCTGTGTTAGAGTTGTAGTTTACACAGGGTTGTCACATAGGCGAATGACATGCTCCTCCATACTGAGATGTGCCGCATATTTACTTTACCTCCCTGATAAACTGAGCAGCAGGGGAATGAAGGAAAGATAAGTATATGTTGTCCTGAATGGGCTTTTGCTTATAATTTAGGGGGTATAAAATAACACCTGCTATATATCTTTTATATTAAAATTTTAAATATTGATATTTGGGTGCACTCATTTTTTTTAAACAGATAGTTGGGGGTGAATTTGCATTATATTGTATTTTTGACATTTTGCATCCTATTTTGGATGGATATATGAAAGTAGATGTAAACCATGACTGTATTACATTTAGTTTGTCCTGTGCACTGTGTATCCTAAACAATTGCCTTTTTTCTTCTTTTACACAAAATGTTTTATTTTATTTTTTCCTTTTCCCATCTCGGTGCTGCTGATCTCCACCAGCCTCTTTCAGCCACTTCCTGTCTACATGCATGCACCCAGGCTTCCTGATGGCCACAACGGTAGACCATGTCCACACAATGTCCCAGCACAGTGGCTTGTAGTCTCCACCAGGTGCGTGACAGGATGGCACTGTAGGAGAGCAGTTGGGAGACCGTTGTCACCCCAAACCAGAGAGTGACTGAATAAGAAACTTCATAGCAGGATCACCAGAGATTATTTAATTAAAAAGCTGCAGATTGAAAACATTGAAAACAACTTTTGATTGACAGTAAATTGTTAATTTGTGATTAACAATTGTGATTGTAAACAGTAAATCGTGATTTTATTTGTGTTTTAGATTTACTTCACAGGGTATCTATGGTCAAAATCTAAACATAAATCTGTATTTCTATATTGAATTTCTATAACTTCTATCCCAATCCTAATAACTATATCCATCTAGAAGTTAGTAAACTTACTTATTGAAGATGCCCAGAGGATGTACTTCCTCAATGCACTGATACCATTTCACTCAGCCCTGTGAATATGCACTTCCTGGTGTCACAACGCCTGCCTTCTTGGTGTCTACAACTCCTGAGCTAATGAACAATGTAACAATATCATTGCTTTCTGGAAGCAATGCATGATGGGATATGTAGTCTTGAGAAATTGAGATTGCATCACATCAAGCATCAGGTAAAGAGACACAAAGCACAATGGAAATCCAGGAAGTTGATGAAAGTGATGGGCAGACAGAAGGAAGCACTCACTACATAAAAGGGATTTTTTTTCAAGTAAGCTTTGATTGCATAATCAAAAACAACTCTAGTATGTCTTCCTGTTACAATGCTGATGTTATAACAGGATAGAATATGCTAGGACTTTAGAACTACTTTAAAGGATTAAAAGGCATTATTGGTCAAATTGTTACAGAGAAGATTCTTGTGATCTGAAATGGAAAGCAAAGCTCTTCGCACCAATTGTATACTGGACATGTATTTATTCTGCACATAGGGTTTGAATATGATAACAAATTCATGATTGATGCCCTCTAAACCTTCTTTAACTATGGGCTTAAGAAAATTATGTTACATTTCTGTTTTCCAGGCAGAGGTATCGGAGCTGAACATGTTTGCAGGGAGAGGGTGGAGAAGATTATCATACTATTTACCAAAGTGGTGAGAAGACGTCAGCATGTGTGGTTGTTTTCATTTCACGTCAATGATCTCACTTGATCTCCAGCTGCGTTCTGATTGATCAGCGTCCGTTTCGCTTATCGCGCCATATAATTGGGCTGATTCCTTTTTCCCATCTCTGTCCATTTCAGCTGAAGTGCCAGTGAGAAGCGGTACAGCGGGCACCTGTGCTTTTTATTAGATTTTTTTTTATTTTCTAAAGTTCAATCGAAAATAAAATGGCCTGCGACTTGGAGAGGATGGGGGAGGCGCAGCTGCTATTAGAAATACCTTCTTCTTTGATGTTGCAGTGTTAATGGCCTGCACTTCATCCCAATTACATTGCACATATAATAGGCTGATATATAGAGGGGGAGAGGGACAATTACCATCAGCTATTTCCTTTTATTTTTCGGTGGACACATAATTCATACTTCAGTTTCCCTCTCTTCTCCACTGCTCATGAAATGCTTCACGCTCCGATGTTTGGCTGTTTCACAGGCTAGTCTGCTATTTTAGGATGGCATATTTAAAGTGAATCTGGAAGGACAGAATTATAGGAGCTGACATTACTGACCTTACAAACATGATAGTTAACCGGCTGGCACTGTTTTTAATACTTTGGGTTACTGACCCTGAACATTTATGTAGCACATGAAGTCAAAGCTCCTGATGTACTTGCTTGTTCCAGGTCAGTGGCTCAAAGTGTTGAGGGTATTGGATCTGCATGGCAGACAGGGAGCTGTTTTAGGTTATCAGTGGCACTCATCCATCAGTATAGGTTTCGATTTAAAGGAGAACTCCAGGCAAAAAAACAAAATCTATACAAAGTTAAGAGTGAGCCATTTACCTGTATTTGTCTCTTGTTTTTTTGGTGGAAGGTAAAATATTTTTCCTAAGGAGGACTTCACATCTTTGTTTTGTAGTAATACAGTTGAGCTTTATTGCATTTTACTGTAACCCATTAACTGTGGTGCCATTCTTTTTTTACTGGCACCCGATGCATCTTGCAAAAGCAAGATGGTCATCAAATGGTTACCATCTGGTTGTTGTGGTGCAGTGCTTTAAAAAATGGTGCTTGCCCAGTTTCAGGAGCCTTGTGTTGTGTTGGCAGCTCATTCCAAATGAATGGGCTATCTTAACACAACACACGTTAATGTATGGGCTACCATACATCAACATGCATGGGATATTCATGCCAGAAATGTGAAGGGGGTAGAATGTTTAAACCTGCAGCAGGGAATATAACTTGAGACTCCTGCTTCTATGAGGTCCAGCTGATGGATGAGCCATAATACACGCAGTGTTATCTGTAGTGAACCCTCCACTGTCTATAGCTAGAATGACAGCAGAGAGAGGACAAAGATAGTAGGAAACGATCCCCAGTTGAAACAGTTGAGACACTCCATCAGCATCAGTGTCTGTGTGCAAGAAGTGCCGTTTGATGGCGTCACTCTGTCTCCTCCTTGTGTATGTCAATCCCTCTGCGGCCTCTTTAAGGGAATTGATATCTTGATCCTGTGCCCTCACCAATATTGAACTATATTCAGCTGGTCTCACATTTGATGGAATAGTCCTCCTGAGGAAGCCCATAGGGTGCAACGCGTCGAGGGCCTCTAAACATAATGATTTTGAATGGAATAAGAATATATATAATTAATGTGACAGCTTTGTAATAACATACTACTTTGGCAGTGAACAGTTTACAAAATTGGTTATAAGGACCAGCACAAGTAACTATTGGTTTTATCTAAAATGTTTTATTGTGTTTTACAAATATATGTGTAGTTATTAAAAGTCTAAAATTGTTACAAATTTGTTGTTTCCATTGCTTGGTCTGGTTAGTTGGTTGTAAAAAAAAAGCCCCCAATTTATAATAAGAATAGGTTTACACCTATCTTATATGATTTTGTGAATTAATGTGGGGGGGGTGTAACCGACCAGACCTCTCCCCACTCATCACTATGTTTGTTTAATAAAGAAATTTGAGGGGAGATGATTTGGAATTGTGATCCATCAATAGATACACAGCAGACACATTTTAATCCCACTGAAGTCACCCTTTAACATCTACTCAGCCAAGAAAAAGGCCATTCAGCTTCACTGTGCAATCACTGCCTTGGAACTAGCATGGACTGGAGAATGTGAACTGACATCTGAGGCTTCTATTGAGGCATTTTTACTTTGAATATACTAATTCTTGTAAATCTTTGAGAGCCACCTGACGGGAGAGAAATATCAGATCTGCCATAGTGTACTTGTGTTGCAAGGTGCACCCTTCATAACAGTCATCCCAATCCTCATTCCATCATTTGGAGAGTCAGCATCAAGTGTGTATATTAGGTGCCCTGTTGTACTTTACCCTAGTAATTCTGGGCCAATGGGCCTTTTTTGTTTGGTGGAAGTTAATGGGTAAAACAGTTATTTATAGAAGGACACTGGCTGCTTTGTTCATTTAGTTTGGCTTGTACTGTATCAAAACTAGCAAGCAGCAGAACTGGTCTGAGAGACAAAGTGAGGCAATTCACAGTAAAGGCATAAAATGAGGAATCGAGTCATCTGTAGGAGCTTTGAAAAATGTCTTTAGACTTTTGAGACTCTGACCAAAGTTGACCTGCAAAATAAATCCTCTTACAGTGTCAGGATAGAGCTCTAGTTACCAGTATTTGTTGCTTCTCCAAGGTTAACACACGACAATAAAATACAGCATGTGGCTTTTTTTCTCAGTTCTCAGTCTAAAGACTAATGTGTCGGTTTTGTTAAACTGACCCAACTTTTTTCATGATATTTGTAGTTTTTATGACTATCAGTGTTCTTGTGAACTCTTTGAGTTTGAGCTATAAAATGTCAAATAACATATTGCCTTTCCCTCGTTTACTGGAGTTTGTATAGTGCTGCTTATTTACTGGAATCTTAAGTGGAACTGTTTTTGTTACATCTTTTGATAATAGAGAGCGTTCAGCAAGTTATCCTTTCACATTTTCTGTTATATATAGAGGTGCACCGAAATAAAAATTTTAAAACCGAATTGAAGCTGAAAGGAAAATAAATCTTGGGCAAAATGTTTTTTTAAAAATATTTTATTTTTATTTCTTTTTTATAAACTTTTACATTTTTTTTATATTTTATTTTTATTAAATATTTTTATTTTTTACTTTACTTGTAGGGGCTTTGTGGAAATATTAGGGGTCTAAAGAGACCTCTGATATTTCCCTTTTTAAAATGGAAAAAGAGATTGAGAACACAGAGTGCTCAATCTCTTTTTCTGCAGCCCCTGTTATGAATGAACAGGAATCATCTATACTGAGTGTTCCTGTTCATTCATAACTTGGAGATAGTATGTTTACTATAACCACAATCATGAATGAACAGGAGGTGATGTAGATCACTTCCCATCCATTCATAATTGAGGATATAGTAACCACACTTTGTCCACAATTATGTACAAACACTCAGCAATCACTGATCGCTGAGTGTTTGCTCTCGCTCTCCTTCCTGACAGCTGTCACAGGAGGCTGTGCAAGCGGTGCAGGGACACAGAGCAGCGCCCAGCGGGGAGGAGAGAAAGCAGGGATGCACCGCTGTATCGACCAGAAAATGGCACTTTCAGCATTTAGCCCAACGTGCCATTTTCGGCCGATATTTCGGTGCATCCCTAGTTATATGATGAATTTATAATTGTCTAACATATCTAAAAGAGTGTATGAGTTGATTAACTTATAGAAGGTAGGGAAAACACTTTTGTATTTGCCCCCTAACTATGTTTTGAGAACCCTTTTGCTTCCACTGCAGCATGACGTTGGGGGAGTTAACAGATATATGTAAAGCCAAACCTTTATTTCTCCATTTTGTTTAGGAAGGGATAAAAACACCTTTGTAAGTCTTCTATTAGTAGTGAGGTAGAGAGACTTCCTAGGCTTGTAATCAGCTGCGTTGTACCTCTGCTGTTTGGCTGAAACACTACTGCAATGCATTATGGAAGGGTTGCCACTATTTTTTAAAGATAAATAACTCAACATCCACAGAAATGCAGAATCTCTTTGGCACTTCCTGTGCTCACAAGGTTATATCACTTTCATGGAAATCTCTGCACTAATAATGAATGAAGATAAATTATGCTAAAATCTTGCATTACTTGTAGAGATCTGCACATGTTTGAATGCTCTAGATCTAAACTGGCCTAATGTAACCTGCACATGGTGAAAGCAACTATCACCAAACAAGAGGAATTTGAAAACCACATGACTGGTCAGATCCATAAAGGCAGACCCTCCTTCCATCACTTCCATACCTCATATCCAGCCAAAGCATTTTTCTTTGGCTAGAGTGTGGAAAAATTAGAACCTTTTGAGGTTTTTACTGTGAATTGGGGCTCCTTCAGAGAGACTTCCTCTCACTCTGTGTACCAGTGACAATGGTTTTAAAGATAAGAAGTGAGGGAAAATCTTTAACAGCAACATAGACAGCAGTAAAAAATGTGTATTTATCTAAGATAGAATTGCCACACCACAGGTTAATAGTCTAGTTTCAGATTTATTCCAATGTGAGATCAGATAGAAGACTAAATTAAACATCTTGTGGATTTCTAGGGCTAGAACCCACCCCTTCCATCAGGGCTTGAGGAAAGGAATCAGTGTATACAAACTGTACTGGATTAAAAGAGAACTACGGCCCAAACTTCTTTGGCCACAGTTCTCTTCAGGGTCACAGAAGGACATTTACTAATGTCTTCCTGTGACCCAAAACTCTGCATAAAGCAGGCTATTGCCAGGATAGATCCCGACAAGGACCTGGTATAGGCAGCCTAATCCAGCTGCTGATGGACACCTATCTGAACCACGTTGGATCTTTCAGATGCCACCAGCCCTGAATCCAGATACCCTGTTCAAACACCACTACAACACTATTGGATAAAAATCTGACACAGGTTCTATTCTCCCCGTACTTTACTAATATTAAACACAATTAAAGTGTATGCTGGAGCTTGTTATGTATTAAAGTTCCACATACAAAACATTTATTTGGGAAACAGTACATCACAACTTTTCAGGGCAGAACTGTTTGGGTAGTTGACATGTTATTTTTTGTATTTGTATCAATGTGATGGATGCAGCCTTTCTGTTTGTTAGTACTAAATGAAACTTTTTTTTATTTTTCTACAGCTCTTAGATTTCCTGGACCAGCATCCATTCTCTTTTATTCCATTAATCCAGAAAGCGTTGGAGTTTGCCGTAAGCTATGTCTTCACAGAGGCCAGAGAAGGAGTTGTGTTTGAACGTTTCATAGTCCATTGCATGAGACTCATTAAGATGATTGTGAGGAATGATTCCTTTAAACCATCAAAAAACTTTGAAGGTACCATTTTGATTTTTCAGAGGCATATTTGTTAAGCAGTAAGCGTGATACTCACCAAAAACATCTGCTGCAGGTGAATCAATCACAGTATTTTAAAATGATTGTATCAAGATGAAACACCTGCAGTGGATATTTGGTGAATGTCACATTCACTGCTTTATAAATGTCTCTATGTCTTGTTTGTAACTATATTGAAAAAAGAGAGAGGGCTCAGATGCCAAGAGAAAGAGAAATCATGTAAAATCTTATTTGCCCCAGAGATCATTGCCCAGTTTCTCTTTTATTGTATTCTAGTGAACTTTGTCCTTTCACACTTGAATGTGTTTATTGGATGGACGTCTTGATTTAACTTTAACAGTTGCCTACATTTATCTCATGGATAAGCTTTTTGAAAGCAATTGCCTGAATGTATGTTATGGATAGGTGTTTGAGTTAACAATTGCCAGGTTGGTATCTTTGCGTATTTATAACCATAAGGTAAGTGTTTCACAGCAAAGCCACCGTCATCAAATAAAAAAAAAATGTACAAAAAAGCCAGACCTGCGAAATGAGTTGGTTTATACTCCCTGCACACTTCCAGATGTTTTGGATACCTGATCCTCGACTGCACCTTGTGATTCCTCCTTGTTGCCCCTAAGTCACTACAGGACACAGAAAAGATCGGAGGAATTGGCAGCAGGTATAATAGAGTATAAACCCTCTTCTTTTGCAGGTCTTATTTTTTGACTTTTTTTTTACTCGATGAGGCGAAATTTCACATAAACATGCCAGATTGTGAGACATTAATGTAAACCAACAAATGCGTGCAAAATCGTGCACAAATGCTTGTGTTGCGTGTTTCCAGGCGCCTCCATTGAAGTCTACGGGTCCAAACATGCAGAGATCTGCAGAAAAGTAGCTTATGTACTTTTTCCAGTGTCAGGCGTTTTTCTGCAGGCGACAAAACTCTCAGGTGTGAACAAGGGCCATAGAAAAGAATGGAATTCCTTGTGTTGAGCTTTTGTAGCTCCAAGAATTGAGCTACAAAATACCTAGGTGTGAACGGGGACTAATATTGTAATGTGTGGCCAACTTTAAAGCCAGGGTGGTTATCAAGAAACTTGTTGACGTATGATCAGGAAAGGCAGCCTTCTGCTTCTTAAGACCTGTGCAAGATCTTACAAATCCACTAGCAACAAACCAAAAAACAATGAACTCTTGATAACCACTCCAACTTTTACAGGCACAGTGAGGATGGTAAGATGGAGTAGCCCCACTGGGGAAAGGATAAGGGATTATATCAGCAACCTAATCCAAACCTTTGGTCTGCCTTTCCTTGGTTGTGCCAACTCATTGTACTGGCTGTTTGCTACTGCAGGTGGCTATATAATAATGCCGCACTTTTATACAGTGTGGAACTGTTCGCAATTGTTTTATAATGGTTTTCATTTCATGTTCTGAAATGTGTTTCAGACAGCAAGCCAGAAACAATCAATGCTCACCAAATAAAGATGTCATTCTTCACTTACCCCATCCTGATGGAGATATGCCGCAGACTAGTCACCCATTATTTTGTCCTCGGTGAGGAAGAGCGAGCAATGTGGGAGGAGGACCCAGAGGGTTTTGGTAGGTATATAGCTATGGGATTTTGCTATGTTAACAGTTGGTTGACTCTACCTTCACAGCTTTGTTTGTAGAGTAGCAAATGCATGTATTGATTTGAAGTTTCTCTGCTCATCCTATGTATGGGGTGTCATTATGCTTCAATGATGGCTATCGGGTCAGATATGGAATGTCTCTGTGGGACCCCCATGGAAGTTGTCCAAGTGTTCCACTCAGTTCACAGTACAGTGAGCAGAGGAAGTAGAAAGTCTCTACTTCATTAATCACACACATGCCACTTAGTTACACGGTGTGATTGCTGAGCATGCACAAGCTGTACACTACGGAGAACTTCATATTGTATATCTGCATTCTACACCGGTCTCCAGAGAAATGAGCGCCAACATTTCACTATCATGCTTCGTGACCAAGAGTTAATTGCTTTCAGTGCGTGATAAATTGTGTACGACTGTTTCTCTGGGGCCTGTCTGCTTGTGTGCTGTGTTGCTTGCTGATTCTTGGTAATCGAAGCTGTTTCAATGTACACGTAGACATTGCTCTGCTAAGTTCAATTTCAAGTGTTTTTTTCTTTTTTCTTTTAATGTTTAACCCACTTATTGGTCTTTGTTTGTATTCAGTGCCCTGGGTTGTAAAAAAATAAATAAAAATAAGTTCCTTTAGTCCAGTTTGTAGGACCTTCTGAGACACTTTGTATAGCACAGTACCGTGTTTTCTTTAGGGCTTGTTCACACTGTGCTCTTTTGAGCTGTGTTTTTCTGGACACCACTGCATATTTGCCCATGTTCACTCCATACATGTGTGATGTTGTGCTGAAAAACACAGCTCAAAGGATATGGTGTGAACAAATGCTTAGATACAACATAGAATTGACAGGAAAAGTGATTGTACAAACTGATTCACCAACATATTTCAAAACAGTTGAGACGCTGTGCAAAATCTACATACAAAACGGAATGCAATGAACTCCTGCCCATCATTACTTCGGAGACACTGACTCTCTAAGATGCTGTTTTTATACCCAGTCATGTTACTGACCTGTTGCCAATTAACCTAATAAGTTGTAAAATGTTCTTCCAGCTCTTCCTTGTTAGTGCCGTGTACTTTCCCAGCTTTATGTTGCCCTGTCCCAACTTTTTGGAGATGTGTTGCTGCCATCAATTTCAAAATCACCTTATTTGTTTCTTAAAATGGTCAATTTTGTCAGTTTAAACATTGGATATGTGAATAAAATATGGGTTCATGAGATTTGCAGGCCATTTTATTCTGTTTTTATGTAGATTTTACACAGCTTCCCAACTTTTGTTGTTTTCTCAGATTCTTATTTCATCCTTGGTACTTGAGGCAATAGACTTTATAGAGCTTTGAGTGGCAATAAGCGTACTTTCCTAGGTCCACTTCTTGTCTGGTACCCAGACCTCATTATACGTCCATCGGCCTTTGTATATGCCCATCGGCCTTTGTATATGTCAGATGACTGATACTCAGGGCTCTCTCCCTTGTTCTTGCTGCTTAGTGAAAAGGCTGAGTGCTGACAGAACACTTAACAGATACATATAGTTCTTACAAACCAGTTTGAATGTGTGTGGCCAACATAAAGTCTATGTAGACCCTAACAAAGAACCTCCTCTTATTTGCACAGTTTTGGTCTTTTAAATATACCAAACAATACGTTAGTTATATCTATTAATTCTTTGAAAAAACTACTTGCTGGTCCTGCCAGAAAACCAGTTGTGTTGTGCATTCTACATGGTTATCTCAAACAGCGCTCTCAGGAAGTATAATAGGAAACAGAATACTTCTCCCCTATGGTATGGAGAAGACAAAAGGGAAGCTGTTTGGTAGTCCTATCCTAGGGAGACAGCGATGTTGCTCCTCAGATACGTTGCCACCCTAGGACTAGGACAGAGAGTGTGCAAACTGGGAAAATCTCTTAAAAAAAAAAAAAAAGAGTCTGAAAAAAAAAAAATCAAACTAATGCACACATCATATCTAAGGACTTGTATGCTGCAGTATATTATATTTTTGTTCTTGGGTTTGGATATACTTTAAGTTGCACTTTAAGTTGATTAATAGTGTGTGGTTTTTGATTCATAGCGGTGGAGGAGAGCGGCGGAGACTCGTGGAAATACAGTCTGAGGGTATGTTTTCTAAATTATTCAGCCTTGGCCTTTCTTTGAATTCTCAAAATAGGTATCATTGTAACTCATGCGTTTAAACAGGAAAATGTTACAGAGTTACATGGCTCAGGTCCTTAGGGTCTTTTCTGTAGAATGTCATCTCTCTTAATTCTCATCTGTTCTCCAATAAAGTGACCTTTTCACAATACTTTCTTTAATTTTTTTAAATGGATTTCTCATAATATATATACATATGCTCTCTCTCTCTCTCTCTCTCTCTCTCTCTCTCGCTCTCTCATTCTCGCTCTCTCTCGCTCTCTCTCTCTGTAAGGGTGACTAACAGACAAACTTAACTGCAAGCACTGCTTTTTGTAGCTTAGCCAGTATCATGTTTTATAGAAATGTGAGAATAGGTGGAGGGTTTTTTATCTGCAGATAAAGTCAGTTATGTCAGAAGGATTTGAGCTCCATAAGGAATCACTTCAGCCTCAAATGCGCTTACACATAGCTCAGCTATTGCTGGGAAAAACATTTTTGGTAATACTGAAAGTATATTTAAGATTTAACACCTGAGTTTAGTGTCACTTAAAATAAAACTATGGGGTAACCTTTTTATCCCATAGTTCTCTTTAGGGTCACGGGAGGACATATGCTAACGTCTTCCGATGACTCAAAGCTTAGTATATAGCAGGCTGTTGCCCACTAAATACTGAGAGTGCTGCAGCCGGGACATTTAATGTCACACGTCAACTCTAACTGTTAAATCTTAAATATACTTTCAGTATTACCAAAAATGTTGCTTATTTGTGTATCACTCAGCTGTAGATCCTCAAATCATCTCGGAATTCATGCTGACACTGTCCTCCTTTCTGGATTGTGGCTAATTTTGTTCCCCATGTCCCTGTGTGTGTTGTAAAGTTGCCACCACCCCAAACACGCTCCTGTGATGGACTACAATCTCATTACAAATTTGTAAACTAATCGTGAGATTGTAGTCCATCACAGGAGTGAGCTTGGAGTGGTGGCTACTTTAGCTCACACAAAGGTAGCCACCCTCCAGAAGGAAGGAGAGTGTCAGCACCAATTCAGAGATGATTTGAGGATCTACAGCCGTGTAATACACAAATAAGATACATTTTTGTTAATAGTTGGGGTACTTGAATGCATTTTTAAGATCTAACTCCTGAATTTGCTGTCACTTTAAGAATCAAACTTGAGCTGCCTTGTTGGTTACTGCTATCATATTTGGATAGGCCTATACTTCGACTAGATTAATCATATCTGCTCAGATCTACAGTGGTTGCTGTCTATGGTCCTGAACACATTGATCCTTGTGTCACAAGCAGGCATTTGATATTTTAATAGGCTGAAGTCTGATGTGGATTGCTATGTTTTCTTCCGATTAACCGATTAATCGAACTTAATAATCGGCTAACTAATCGATTGTGAAAATAATCGTTAGCTGCAGCTCTACTGTGTATAGCCTAAAATTCAATGCTGAAACTGCTAAACACTCATCCTGATCCTACTTGTGAAAAATGAATGCAGTTTCCATTGTTGCAAATCAACAGTGCTAACCATTTAGCCACAGTCAGCCTCATCAATTTGAAATGTTATCTCCATACTGGTGAGAGAAACTGTTAATCCAGAACAGGCATACAGAGTAGAATGTCAGCCTTCCTTATTTGTGTACCTGTTCCAGATCACTGACTTAGAAATGAATGGAGCCTGTAAGCATAGCAGCCAAAAAACTGGTATTTTCAGTTAGAGTTCAACAATGGCATTCTTTGTACTGATCTCATGACAGATGTTCTTTGAGTAGCAATATAAGAATGTGTGTTCTCCACAGGTTCCTGGGCATAATATATTGTTAGATGATGTCTCACTGTAATTTTTATTTCTTTTACCGACTGCATTTCTATGGTGTGTTAATTATTACTAGCTGAGAACCGTGGTACCTGTCAGATAACTACTAGAACATTGAAAAGTGATTATTTTTATAGGTGGCTATTTAAATAGATATTCTTCTGCTATGTAAGATTTACCCTTTTCAGATTTAATAAAGAGTAGGCTGTACTTAATAGCTTCAGGGGACGTTGTGATCTGTAGCGTCTTTAACATCTTAAAATAGATTTCTAGAATTATTGGAACAAGTAAAGCTAGTATGTAAGATCATCTGTATACCCTGTAGAAAAACTGTTTCACCATTTTCTATAACTGTCATAAACATTTTCTGTTTAAACTTCTCTACTTGCCCTGATGGAAAGGTGTTTGTATTAATATGTACAACAGCAAAAAGTTTCTCAGCACACTCACCAGCCAGCATGCAAAAAACCTGTCTAAGGTTAAAAACAGAGGTTTTAGATCAGGGGTGGCAAACACAAGGCCCGCCTTGTAATGTGGCCCGCACAGCGCAGGGGTTTCTTTTGCAGAATATGTGAAAGCCGCACTGCCTCGTCAAGGCCCCTCTGTGCAGTGTGGTCCTTAATCTAACCTATGAGAGTCTCCATCTTGGAGCACATGTAGCAAAATATAAAATTTGGTGCAGGTCCGCCCAACCTCCTGGGGGCTCAGCTGCCGTTGTGGGTGCTGGTGAGTGTCCTGGGAAACTTTTTGCTGTGTACTGTATAAAGCCCTTCCATGTGCACCTTGCTTTAAAGCTGGTTATGAGTTGATGAGTGAGTTTGCCATTCATTTTGCTTGTATTAATATGTATTCTCCATGGAAAAAAGAAAATACAAAGTATGAATCAGTAATAATTATGGGTCTGGTAGAAAGTGTTGCTAGTCAGATTTCTGGACCCAGGTTCTTGACAATTAAACAGCTTCAGAATCCTATCCAGTGCCAATGAGGTGTATTTTGAATATGTTTTGTGTTTCTTTTGGCAGCCGTGTTCAGAGGTTTTATTTATTGACATCTTTCATGAATATAGCCAGATCCTGACGCCTGTGCTGTTAGAAATGGTTCATACTCTTCAAGGTAAGGGCCTTCTGTCTCTCATGTGACGTACCGTTTCGTCATGTAAGAATAATATGCTTTTCTTGCAGACACATTGCACTAGCATTATTTTTACTGCCTGTGTCACATAATAATAGTGAGACCTAGCTTCAATTTTTTCTAAACGTTTTTTTACTTAAGCACAAAAATATTTTTTAGGACTTGTTACGCCAGAGAAATGATCATGCATATTGCTGCTTGCAGTGCTCAAACATTTATAGACAGGCAATTTGTCATTTTCATTAGCACCTGGTTGTCGCCAGCACAATGGCTTTCTTTTCATCCGTCTTCCACAGGGGTTTCTTAAAGTTTTTAATCCACGGAAATAAAAAAAATGTTATTGTACTGATACCCAAGAAGAGAATTATTACCGAAATGTCGGCAAAGTCCCACAAAGACAATCACTGTAAAATAAAATAAACGCCTACAGGGTTATTCACAAAAGGGTGAGGAGTTTGGAGGAGGCAGGGGAAGTGAACAATCTAGGACAACATAGCTGATCTGGAAAGTGAGCTGAATTGGAGAATATTTCCAAATCCGCTATTTTGGCCTAGATTGTTCACTTCTACTGCCTTCTCCAATCTCGTCACCCTTTTGTGAACAACCCTATCAGTGTTCATGCCTATCCAAGTAGTTCTCAGTGTTTTCTTATCTGTAAAGCAGAGAATCCAAAAGCCAATATGAAGTTAAAAAACAATAATTGTAATTTAGGATAGATAATTATTTCCTAAATGTCATTCCAATGTAAATGCCGATACATATACAAAAACTATTTAAAAGCCGTTATATAATAAATACATTTGACTTGGTATCAGCTTCTTGTAGTCCCTGTATAGCACAGCCTATGTTTATTTAATTCTCTGCCCCCCTCCTTGTGCTCACTTTAGTTTCCAATAGTGTCTGGTCTGTCAGTCATAGCCCTTGTGCTATATCACTCACCACTGATCTACTGACTTTGCCCTTGCAAAAATTGGGCTACACAGTCAAGTGATGACCCACTGATCACGATTGCCAATATTTACTGGCTGCAATGCAAAAAAAATACTAAATGCTAATGTTTTTCTTTTATGAAGACGTGAGCATTTCTTTAAAAAGTGGACTTTACCTTTAACCCTTTCGCTGCCAAGCCCTCCGGAACATTTTTCAAATCTGCTGGCCATACTAGTGCTTCGCCATAACTGTATTCCAGACTTGTTTTGCTAGCCTCTTGATCATCATGATGCTGTCTGTTTAGATATGTTCTCCATCAAACTCTCCTTACCTCTAGAAAGAGGAGTATTTATTTTAGGAGCATTGACACTTTAAATGCACACAGGTGGTCTCTATTAAATTTATTATGTGACGAAAGGCAATTTGTAGTTCTATGGATTATTCAGGGTGAATACTTAGGCAATTAACACCTTTCAGATTTTTATTTATAACTTGGAAAACTATGAGGAAATTTATAATTTGGTTTTGCTTTTTCATGCTATGCTATTTTTGTGTTGCGGTGGCAGCACAACTAGATTAATCTGTGAAAGAGAGTTAAAGAGAACCCGTCACAGTTGAGCGTATGCAAGAATCTAAATACACTATATTGCCAAAAGTATTTGGATGCCTGCCTTTACACGCACATGAACTTTTATGGCATCCTAGTCTTAGTCCGTAGGGTTCAATATTGAGTTGGCCCACCCTTTGCAGCTATAACAGCTTCAACTCTTCTGGGAAGGCGTCCACAAGGTTTAGGAGTGTGTCTATGGGAATGTTTGACCATTCTTCCAGAAGCACATTTGTGTGGTTAGGTACTGATGTTGGACGAGAAGGCCGGACTCGCAGTCTCCGCTCTAATTCATCCCAAAGGTGCTCTACCAGGTTGAGGTCAGGATTCTGTGCAGGCCAGTCAAGTACTTCCACCCCAAACTCGCTCATCCATGTCTTTATGGACCTTGCATTGTGCACTGGTGCGCAGTCATGTTGGAACAGGAAGGGGCCATCCAGAAACTGTTCCCACAAAGTTGGGAGCATGAAATTGTCCAAAATGTCTTGGTATTCTGATGCCTTAAGAGTTCCCTTCACTGGAACTAAGGGGTCAAGCCCAACCCCTGAAAAACAACCGCACATCATAATTCCCCCTCTACCACACTTTACACTTGGCACAATGCAGTCAGGCAAGTACCGTTCTCCTGGCAACCTGCCAAACCCAGAAACGTCCATCGGATTGCCAGACAGAGAAGCGTGATTCGTCACTCCAGAGAACACGTCTTCACTTCTCTAGTGTCCAGCGGCAGCGTGCTTTACACCACTGCATCCAACGCTTTGCATTGCACTTGCTGATGTAACGTTTGGATGCAGCTGGTCGGCCATGGACCCATTCCATGAAGCTCTCTACGCACTGTTGTTGTGCCAATCTGAAGGCCACACGAAGTTTGGAGGTCTGTAACTATTGACTCTGCAGACAGTTGGCGACTTCTGCACACTGTGCGCTTCAGCGTGCGCTGACCCCGCTCTGTCATGTTACATGGCCTACCACTTTGTGGCTGAGTTGCTGTTGTTCCCAGTTGCTTCCACTTTGTTATAATACCACTAATAGTTAACTGTGGAATATTTAGTAGCAAGGAAATTTCACGGATGGACTTATTGCACAGGTGACAACCTATCACGGTACCACGCTTGAATTCACTGAGCTCCTGAGAGCGACCCATTCTTTCACAAATGTTTGTAGAAGCGTCTGCATGCCTAGGTGCTTGATTTTATACACCCTTGGCCATGGAGGTGATTGGAACACCTGAATCCAATGATTTGGAGGGGTGTCCCAATACTTTTGACAATATAGTGTATCTTAAATGATTAAACATGCTTATGCTTACCTATGACAGATTTATATTTGTCTTGTGATTTAGCTTTGCTTACTAAGGGTGCCTCTGGGATTAGGGAGGTAGAGGTGAAAGGTCACCTGGAATCTGACAATTGCTGTTCTGGCAAATGCCTGACCTCATGTTGATAGTAGATACCGTCTCGAGTATGCTCAGCATTATCACATAACAGGGCCCTTCAGGTAAGAGTTATGTGAACAACTGACAGCAGTTGACAGGACAGCAGCTGTTGGATCTCAGGGGGCCGCTTACTCTTAGATTCAAGGGTTATCCTCAGACAAGAAGACTAACGGAGCTCTTTATTGGTGAGTTCAGTTACCTCTTTTTTTTGGACACCACAGTGTTTCTTAAACTGTACTTCTATTCATAATATACAGATTGCAGTGTCTAGTATGTGGTGTCTATTAAAGTTCTATCTGCTTACTGCTTTAAAGTAAACTCTTTGCAGTTTTAACTCGAGAAGAGGCTGGTCACAAGACTTTGGCAGGTCACGTGGCCAGGGCTCTGCTGCATGCTTTTTTAAAAATTATTATTATTATTATTATTATTTTTAAAGCATTGGTATGGCCAAGGTAAGGCCTTTACTGTTGCTTTATAGTTAGGGCTTAATAACAGGTAAAACAGATGTTATAGGTACATCTGCATTTCATTGCAAGTGACACCTAACTCTTTTACAAGCTCTTCTGGGCAATGCTTGCCCTCTCACCTTTGCAGCACATTGTTTTCTTCCAAAATACTTATTTTGGCAATACGGAATTTTGTTTTCTGTTTCAGGTCCAACTCCAATAGAAGATTTGAATGCTTTATTAATTAAAGAAACAGGTATGTAATTCAAATGAAGAAAACCTTACATATTACCAGTCCACTAGAGAAGATGAGGTTTTTGTCTATTTAGCCAGTTAGATTAATTCCTTATATTTTCAATGAATAGAAGAGGATAGTTGGCTATTTTCAGCAAAAGCTTGTATTTTGTGCCTTTTTTCTTTTCTCATGGATTAATAAATAAGCATCTAGTTCTCTGTTTGATGTGATGCACAGATTTATATGGATAATTTCAACCACCGACTTCGGAGGTCCCCTTAGATCTCTGCGTTTTACTTTTTTGTGGTTTGTTTTTAGTTGGTATTGCTTGTGCTACCGGTCATCATATTCATGAAGGATGTGGCTGTTTACTAATAAAACTAATTTACTAATAAACTAATAAAATCACTAATAAATCTAAAATGTATAAAAAAAAACGTGTTTAAACAGATATGCATGCAGATCTGCTCCAGACTTGGTGTGAACAAGCACTGAAACTGCACCAATAATGCAGCAAGCATAGGTTTTGGAACACACTCTTAGGTGCATTGATATGAACTGGACCTTAACACAACGTTGGTTTGCCTTTTTCAGAGGCAGTGCATTTTCTGGTGATCAAAACCAACCATTTATTAAGGTGCCTTGCTGTCGGGCTGACTGATTGTTGATGATGGTACTTTGTATGGGCTTACTTTTAAAGCTAACTGCTTACATATAAAGAATCAAGGTTGACTGATGGGAATATACGAAGGCCTAATCTCTGTGTTCTTGTACACAAACTATTATTGCTCTCTGCCTGATTTGAAAATAAATTGTGGGTTGCAAATTTCTAAATCATGAAACAGTAAGGACAGCTTCTATAAGGCAGTTGCAAAGCTTTCACCCATCTTCAAGCTTCCTTGTTTTAAAGGGTATCTACGGTCAAAAACTAAAAATAAATATGTATTTCTTTACTGAAATTCTATAAGTTATATCCCACTCCTAATAACCATATCGATCTAGAAGTTTGTAAACTTTTTGAGGATGCCCATGGGATGTACTTCCTCAATGCACTGACACAATTTTTCTCAGTCTTGTGAATATGCACTTCACTTCTTTGTGTCAACACTCTAAGCCTGCCATCTGCACTACAACTCAACATCTGAACTTCCCACAATGTGGCATCATTATTGCTTGCTGAAAGAAATGTATTATGTGCTATGTAGCTATAAGATCTGCCAGCACAGTACAGACAAGGTTAATTATGTTACCATTAACCTGCCTAGTCCCCCTTTGCTCTGCATTTCAGAACAAAACTCAATACAGGGAGCAACTTTTCTTTCAGAATAGATCATGTCTTGTTCAAGCAGCAATTTAAACACATTTTTAGGTTATTCTATGTTGATGAGAAATTTTTAACAAATTTAAAATAGGGGTTACCCCAATTTGGCTGCAATTGTGGAAATATACTTTAAGGTCATTGGTTTCTTTTTTTTTTTTTTTTTTTAAGATTTTATTTGATTTTTTTTCCAATATAAAACAAAAAGAAAAGAAAACAAATATATTATCAGCAGGTTACATAAAAGGTGCATATCCCAATATAGTAAACATCATATTTGCAAGGTGTGTCAAGTTAGAAGTGCTGCCATCTTTCTACACAATCTATTGCATATCAGGGACAGACAATGTATAAATATGGGATCGGCTAGAGGCGAAGTCTAGGTCGAATATCAGGCAGGGATGAAATAATTTAATCCTGAGCTAAACGCAGACTCCCCAGTGCATTCGACACATCTGCCTCCAGGTACCACTTAGTATACCTGAAGGGCTGAAGCAGGTTTGTGACCTTCATTGCAGTGAGGGTTTTTACAATAAAATGTTTCCATCTCTTGAAAAAGGATGAGGCATGATTATCCTTGTGCATTTCGGCATCTAGTCTTTCCTTAGCCAGTAATGCTGTCAAGTCATTGATAAGTTCCTTTATCCTGGGGACTGAGGGGGCGTTCCAGTGTCTCATGAGACATCTCCTAGCCACCAGGAGACAAATGTGTACCCAGTCCAAGCCTTTATATCTGGTATGACTTTGTTGTTCAGTAGAATGGTCTAGATATCGAAAGAGACACAATCAAGGTCAGGTTTCCATGAAACTATGGTATTGACATATCCTAGAACTTGTGTCCAAAAGTTCGATACCTCTGGACACGCCCAGAAGCAGTGGTGTAGAGTCTTGCGTTGCAGTCCACATTTAGGGCAAATTGAGATTGGTTGGCGTGGTGTAGTGGACGTTGTTGCTGGGATAAAGTAAGGTACATAGGCCCGATGTAAGATTTTAAATTGGGGTTTCCTTCCAAGTTTTATTAGTTATTACTGATCTCGTTTTGGTGTAACCCGTGAGTATTTTAGGCAGTAAATCCGGGTCATCAAAGTCCCTTGACCATCCTCTCATATTTAAACGTGAGAGGGGCGGAAGCAATAAAGCTTGTAGTTTTGGGTATACTGTTGATATGGAATAAGATTTGCTCGATATAAGCACATCTAGGAATGACAAAGAGAAAAGGGACCTTGGCGTTCCCGAAAAACTGTGCCATGTGGTCTTCAGCTGCAGAAAGTGTAGAAAGTCCTGGTGAAGTATACGATATTGTTGTATGAGGTCCTTGAAGGCGTATGGGGCAAAAGCTTGAGGATGAAATAGTTTTTTCCATTAAGGGACACTGGGAGGACATATATAAGGAACGTTTCAGAGATTTCCTAACTTCTCGCCATACACTAATCGTGTCCTTAATCAAAGAGATGTGTCGAATGTTTAGGGGTAAGGAGGAGAGCCTGCAATGGAGGACAGCTTTAAGATCCCACAGGGTGATTAGCTCTGCCTCCAATTGGGTATTTGAATAAACTGAGCTATTGGATAGCCAGTCCAGTGCATGACGGAGTAAACAGGCCATATTGTATAGTTTAATATTCGGGAGATTAGTTCCCCCCTCACCCTTCGGGAGCCACAGTTTCTTAAAAGAAATTCTCAGCCGTTTTGCTTGCCAGATGAAAGTTGACATAGCTCTATTAAAACAAGTGATATCAGTCGTTTTCAACAGTAAGGGGAGAGTTTGTAATGGGTATAGCAGCTTTGCGAAACTTATCATTTTGATGAGGTGAATTCTCCCGAAGAGTGACAGGGGAAGATCCCTCCACATATCCAATTCCTTGCAAATGTTTTGTATTAGAGGGGGATAATTGAGATGATAGAGAGAGGAGGGAGTCTTACCCACCTTTATACCTAAGTAGGTTATCTGCTGCTGTGCCACCCTCATCACTCCGTGCTCATCCACCCCTGCTGTTCCTGACAGGGGGAGGATTTTGCTTTTCAGGAAATTAATCCAGGGGGAACCTAGAAAGTTGTGAAGTGATCTATCATATTGCAAATGAGCAGGACATCTTCAATTGGACGGGAGGTGAACAACAGGACATCGTCTGCAAACAGTGCCAGGCGAAGCTCTGCTTTGCCCACCTTAATACTATGACAAGCGTCCGAATGTGATATGTGAACTGCCAGTGGTTCTAGGGACAGATTGAACAGCAGAGGGGACAGAGGGCATCCCTGTCTTGTTCCCTTTTCCAAGTTAAAAGGCTTTGAAAATGGCTTTGACAATTGATACTGGGTCAGTATCCTGGCAATTGGGAAGGCATACATTTGTTCGAAGAAAGAGAAGACTCGTCCCTGAAAGCCAAATTCTGTTAGTACCCTGAACAGCCATCTCAGATTTACATTATCAAACACTTTCTCGGCGTCCAAAGTGAATGGCCGAGTCTAGTGAGGGGTTGGATCGAGCCTGCTCCAGTGCCACCAATACTTTCCGTATGTTCGTCACACCCGAGTGGCCTTTGTCAAAACCCACCTGTGACGGCTGAGTCAGGGTTGGCAGAATATCCGCTAGCCTATTCGCTACTATTTTAGAGAGGATTTTGGCGTCTACGTTTAGGAGCGAAATTGGTCTATACGAGCTGGGATTCGTAGGGTCCCTCCCTTCCTTAGGCAGTAATTTGATGTATGCCTCTTTTCACGTTGCCGGGTATGGGGAGCCCCCCCACACCGAGGAGTACATGGAGTGTAGAGGTTCCACAATATCTGCCTGTAAGATTTGAAACAACTCCGTTGTATAAGGTAATTGGTTTCTTTACATGACCCTGATTCTGAGTCTGAGAAAATGCAAGTAAAGTGTTCCCAGGTTCAGAGCTCTGCCCTCTAAATGTGGAGAGATGCGTTACAATCATGAAATTACATGAAACATATAATGAATGGTTGAGTGGTCTTCCCAACTTTAGCACAGTTGCAGTGGAGCAGTTCACTGAATGATCTGTTACATTTACATGCGATTCAAATTGCCCCATTCCCACATAGCAGCAATAATAATAAATATTGTTTTGAACTTTGACTTTATCTGTATGAGCTTATTTCCTCAAAACGTCACCATGCTGATTTATTTAGACACCTCAACACGTAATGGCATGGATTCCTCTGAGAAACTGTCATCTCAAGCGGGATCTCTACCCAGGAACATTTCTACATCAGTGATAGCGTATTCCCAATTCTTAGTAATGTTTATTTGACTGGGGAACACCTGCTCTATATTGGCTGTCTCTAGTGTGACTCAGAAAGGAAAAATACAGTTTCATAGTCTATTCTGATAGAACTCAAAGTGTGCATTTTATAGTAGGGAGATCTCGAGACTGTCAGGTTAATAATGGGTATCTTTTGCACTCATCTTTGTTTCATATCCTTACTGGCATAAATGAACATACATGCAAACTACAAAAATGTCCATGTACCCTAAGTTATTGACATTTTTGGACTAGAAACGCAGAACACACAGCTCACCTCTGTAATGCATCCTTGTAATCCGCATTCAACTGTAAAACTGTATGGCTAATTAACCTCCTCCTGCAAGCCAATACTTAATAACTCTTGATATTGTTTAACAATATCAAGTGTGGGTTTGCAGGAGGTTAATTAGGCATTTAGGGACTTTTATCATTATATTCTGTGTGTATTATTTTAATTTTATTTCTCAATAAAACATATCATTTTATATAATTAGTGTTCAACAAAATGTTCCATTCACTCTGGGACAATGTTAAAAACCCCAATTCTTATGTTCACTATAGTGTTAAACACTATAGTGAACTTAAGAATTGACTGGCAGGTTATTTTTTACATTACTTATAGGTGATCCAAGCCTACATGTTTGTGTTTCTGTATGAAGATGTATGCCTAATGAGCAGGGCAGCAAATATCTATGGAGCTAGCTTGATGGGAGATGAAGAATACTCACTCTCCTGTCACTCGCCTCCTCACCTTCTCCTCCTCACCTTCTCCTCCCCACCGCACTCTCAGCAGCAGGGGAGGGGAAGGGGGTCCTCTGGGGGCTGCTGGCAGAATTGCCTGCTGCTACGTTCCTCGCTGCTCCTCTCGGGTATTAAAAAAAAAAAATCACTATAAGAAACCACCTGCCCAACGCCCATAATTGCATGTCCCGGGCATCGGGTGATACAAATTGTGCACCCCTGCTGCAGTATACAATGCTGACAAATGGCGAGCTCTCATTGAGAAGTGATTTCGAGCTGGGGTTCAGTTCCTGGAAGAAGGAAAAGCTTCTAATTGGTCAGCGTGGCCATTCCTACCAAAATGAATCTCACCATTCTAGTGCTTATACTCCTAATTCAATGATCACATCTTGGAGAGATCTCCAATTGTCTGGCACTGTTATTAAATATCCATTTACAGTGACCATAAGGTAACTGATTTTACACTACATGTTAAGTCTCTCGACATAATACCATTGTACACACAACACAACACACACACACACTTTACTTAACTGATAGCAGATAGTCCTCAAATTAATGCAAGTGCAATGATGCCCCTGTAGTTCATTGACATTCGATCAGAACAGCTGCTGCTAAGTTCATTGTTATTTTGTAAGCAAGAACTGTTCTGTGAATTCTATTCCTGGTTTTAGTGCAGTCTACGATAATAAAATAATAGAAGCTTATATATTAATCCAGTAATACGCACATCTATTCCTTTTCTGGTGACGCATCAACATTTTGAAAGTTTCCTCACTGTCAATCTTGGGGGTCTACGGGACTCGGGCAGTAATAAGAACCTGACTTCACTACTCAAAAAGTGAAAATTGGATTTAGTTACACTTTAAAGATGCTTTCTGATTGGTTTCAAAGCACGTCAGCACCTCTTGTTTTAGAAGTGGGCTGTTAAATATATCCCATCCTAGCTTGTTCCATAAGTCAGGCAAAGTACATTCCCGGTTCTTGTGCTGCTTTGTTGAATGTGCCTGTGTGTTTATTTCATTACATTATTTGACTACTGTTGTAGACTGTAATGTTGTACAACATTACATTTCTGCTGTTACCAGTGACTAACTCCTCTTTCATTTATCTTCCTTCAGTTTACAATGCTGTGGGACTGGCTGCATATGAATTATTTGACAGTGTGGACTTCAATGAGTGGTTTAAAAATCAACTGCTTGGAGAACTGCAAATTACCCATGATAGGTGAGAACATTTTGTCCTCCTGGGATGTGATATCAATTTCATTATGTAGCGTTCTAGCTACATTTCTCTTGTGATCTGTGATGTATATTATATTGGAAGCCTTCTGCAATGTATGGAAAGGTATAGTAGAATGTTGCTCCCTTCTCATGAAATTGGGTTTAGCATACCATAGTATGATATCACAGGGGCTAGGCTGCTGCTATAACCACTTCATATGTTCAATGTTTTTTAGTTCTTGATAACAACCAATCTGCTAGCTTTGCAAGTCTGCCAACCTAAGCATTATAATGAATTTGTTATTTTGGACAGATAAATATGTCTCTTCAGCTTCCCACAAATTAGCATTTGTTATCCAAACAGCCCATTGCCACTGATTGTGGCAAAGTTGCTGCTCCTAATTGTGGTGCCACCAATATAACCCATAGGAACTGTTACCCAGACTCAGGACTGATATTTACTTGATACCACCGCTGGATGCAGAGCAATATTGTAAATAAACCAATAGTTGATTATGCATGAAATCCATAAATGATCCCCTTTGGGGAATGTGCCATCATGCCTCAAGAAGAAAAGAGGAACTTTGGGACTTTATGACACAACAGTATGAATCTTACACAAGATAAGCAGAGAAAAACATCCACATTTTTTCACCAACAATAAAAAAAACTATTACTCACCACTAGCACAAAGCATGATCTTTAATACAGTCAAAGTTATGTGAATATAATGTATCACTGTCACACTTCCCTGTGTGATGATCCGGCGCCGGGTTTTACCTCCGGTCTGAGCTGCGTGGCTTGCTGCCAATCCACTCTGAACCTCTCCTTTAAAAGTCCAGCTCACTTGTTCCGTGCCGTTCGAGCAATGTGTCTTTACACCCAGTCGGACTTCCTGTTTATCCCTTGCCTTTGTAATCTCTGCGGTTGCTACCACCTACCTTGTTCCCTGTGTGTCTGGATTCCCTCTTCCTCACAGTGAGATCCTGTGCATCCTGCAGTGGATTGATCATCAGCTTCTTCACTGAGTCCTTGCACCTGTGCCTACTTGTGTGTCTGTGTATAGGCTTTAACCCTGCCTGCTGTTGCATCCAGCACCTCGGTGCTACAACTAACCTTTATGTTTGTGTGGGTGTGCTAGAGGGCCGCAACCTGGAAGGTGTCCAGCAGCCAATCATCCTCGCCATTAGAGGCTCTGTCGAACACCTGGCCTTTCTTAGAACCTGCGCCTCTAGTGCGGCCCCATTAACGCACAGACACCTACTTCCTGTGTTTTCATCCCAAACACCATTTTTTGCACGCTACTCTTTGTCATTTCGTGTGCCCCGGTCGCAGACCGTGACAATTACTTGATGATGGGACTCTAGTTCTATCTCGTTTCATGAACCAAAGTTCCTTTTTAGGAGAATGGATAGTAGATATCTAGAATACAGGAATATATAGTTATGAACATCATCCAAATGAAAATAGAAACAACATTATAGACTTGTTATTAAAGTGACACTAAACTCAGGAGTTAAACCTTAAATGTGCATTCAAGTACCCCAAGTATTAACAAAAATGTAGCTTATTTGTGTATCACTCGGCTGTATATCCTCAAATCATCTCTGAATTGGTGCTGACACTGTCCTCCCTTCTGGAGGGTGGCTACTTTTGTTTCCCATGGTTCATCTGTGTGCTGTAAAGTAGCCACCGTTCCAAGCTTGCTCGCACGATGGACTACAATCTCTATACAAATTAGTAAACTAAACATGAGATTGTCATCCATCCTGGAGCTTGGAGCGGTGATTACTTTACAACACACACAGGGACCATGGGGAACAAAAGTAGCCACCCTCCAGAAGGAAGGACAGTGTCAGCACCAATTCAGAGATGATTTGAGGATCTACCGCCGAGTGATACACAAATAAGATACATTTCTGTTAATAGTTAGGCTGGGTTCACACCTAGGCGTATTGAATATGCGCGTTTGTCGTGCGTTTTTACCGTGATTCGCGGTAAAAAAAACGCGCGACAAACGTGCGTTTCCGAGGGCTACTTGGCTGTATCCCAATGGAAACGCCCGACCAAAACGCCCCAAAGAAGTACATGTACTTCTTTGGGCGTAGGGCGGTTTCCCGCGCGTTCGGAACCATGCACATTGAAAATAATGGCATTTCCCTGTTTGAGCGTTTTTCCACAAATACGAACGCGCGGAAAAACGCCCAGGTGGGAACCGGGCCTTAAGGTACTTGAATGCATTTTTAAGTTTTAACTCCTGAGTTTAGTGTCACTTGAACATGCACCATACCTTTACAAAGTGACTTTGTAAATAAACCCAGCCATTTGGTTAAAATTATGAATAATATTTGGACTGTGCAGAGGCTGGTACATGTGGTGTTGCATCTCCCGCACCATTCGGGAGAGCAATTCATCAGTGTTCTTTTAGGAGCTTCTCGATCATTTCTATGGTGGGAGCAGAAGAAAACACTTTCCTTTTCTGTAGCTTCCCCTTCTCCTCTCTCCCTTCTTTCCCTTCTCTATCCCTTTCTTACTCTTCATTCCTATTTCCCTTCATGTTTGTTGTTTTGTATATCTCACAACTTGATACATGCTAACATAATGGGAATTTGTTGAGATGCCTAGCTGTGCTTCCTCTGCTGTACTGTATATCACTGAATAATTTTTTTAATATCATATTTAAATGTCGCTTATTTGTTTAATAAACTTAATTTGAACAAAATTATGAAAAGGATGAATTATTATGTAGTATAGTACCATCATCAAGCAATATATTACATTTGTTACATTTTGACTATATTGTAGATCATGCTTTGTGCTAATGGTGGGGTGTAGGTGGAGGTATTGATGATAATGAACACCTAATGAAGCATGCAAGGGCCTCTTTTATATAAGGTTCTTATGATGTTTGTTAATAAAATGTGGACGTTTTTATGCAGATATCTTAAGTAAGATTGATACTGTTGTACCAAGACCCAACTTTCTTCTGTTTTCTTCTACAATTATGTAAATAAAAATTGTCCTGACTTTCTAAGATTTCTTGATCAATTGTCATTTCACTTATCTACTGCCCACAACACATGTCTCTACATCAGGACGGGACAAGTCTCGCAGAGATGTAGTAGCCAGCTGAAAAAGTTAGGATCCAGCAAACTACACATATTTCCCATTCCTATTTTACTGACATATTTACACAAGTTATCAAAAGCAAAGTGTGTGTAAATATATCAGTAAAACAGACCCAGGCAAACCCATTGCTCTGGATTTTTATGGTGTTTTTTAGACAATGCCACACAGACAACAATGAAAAATATTTCCTGAAAAATAACACAGTTGACATGGTTTAAGATGTCCATCTCTTAAGCAGAATGATGAACACCCCATGGAATCCCTTCATGGAAGTGGCCCTGTTGCCAGACCATTTCAATGACAGTCTTCCTATAAGATCATCTGTGCATTTAATGCATTCTTTTCATGTTATGTACCTGTAAAAACCGCCAGAAGACTCAAGCAGCATCCTATAGTATTCCCTTTGCTTCTCCCGGTGGCTGCTGAATAAAAGTGTTTTTGATACTTGATTTTATTGTACTTTTACCTGCAAATCCTCTAAGCACAGATTTGATTGGCCACAATCTCCTTACAGCAGTAATTACAGGTTACTCGGTAGAAAATGGAGGCTGTCTGACAATATCCTGTCTCTGTAGGTTCAAGACAACATACATGCTTCTACACACAATGAAGTTCCAACCAGATGTAAACCCACTTGTGTCAACTTGTGAGGACAATCCTCCTGCCGAGCTATCATATTCTGACATTGGTGGGTGTGCTGCTGTCAGAATACCCAACCGGTGACTTCAGCTAATTGGCTGCAGTCACTGTTACTCCGACAATTTTTCGCCTGGCTCCTTCAATTCTCAGATATAAGAATGTTGAGCGGAAGGCTGCTGAGAGGGCCTCCCACAGAGCGATTATTAAGAAACAGACAAAATTCACTATAGTGTATGGTCGGCTAGAATAGGTGTAGCAAGAAGCTTCTAGGGTTTTCTAAAAAGTATATCAGCTGTCGGGTGAGGAAATCTTGTTTTTACTAGATGCCTTCTGGGGTCAGCTGGTGGAGCCGCAGTTAATGAACCTTCAAACAAATGTTCAAATACACAGGCCTCAGAAAGCTTTGTTCTCTTTGAAATGGTGACCAGGTGTTGTCCATCCCTGCTCTGCATGAGTCTTTTTCTCCCTCATGTGCCTTTATTTCTGGTTTACCTGTTTGTGTGCCTGCTTCTTGAATAACTCTAGTGTCTAGTCCTGGGTTAGCTTCTTTATCTGGAATCTCTTTGTAACTTTCTGTTTTTTTTTGTTGCTCTTCTGTTCCTAGACCACATAAAAAAGACATAAATAGCAGTATATAGCTAAAATGACAGAACTGTCGAAGGAGCCATGCTGAAAACTGTCGGTCATAGAGTGACTGCAGTCACTGTTTTGGTATTCTGACAGCTGTTGGCACGGGCTGTCAATATACAGTAGCCAGCAGGGGATATTCCCCCATCCACGCTGTTTAGTGTTTTTTCTTGTTTAGCCCATGGGGCTGAATGAGGAAAATCATATAGTGAATGGTCAGCTTAACAGTTGCTGCCTTGTCCACTGCCTGATCTAACCCATTGTATCCCATCCTCAGACTGTACAATAAGTGATTTCAGGCAGATGGATGCCAACAATTGTTCCTGGCACTTCAGCTATAATAGCTGTAAGGCCAACAAAGGGGAAATGTAAATACTTTATAACTAAGCCTGTACAAGGTTTTATATTCCTCCATAAGGCCATTCATGATGGCTTGTTCATTCTGTTATCATTGTACACTATGCATATAGTTGTCCTCAAGTTATAACATTACTTTAAAATATATTCTTTTTATTGTCTTTCATTACTACAGGTATAAATTGTTACGTCGCAGAATAATTTGGCTGATTGGACAATGGGTCTCTGTAAAATTCAAATCTGAGTTGAGACCATCACTGTATGAAGCAATTCTAAGTTTGCTGCAAGACCAAGACTTAGTAGTAAGTACATTGAACGGATGCTGAACAGTGCTAGACAATAGGTCTCTGTTTTTTGAATTGTGGTTGTTTTCTATTTTGAAATATACGAATTTAGTACAGGGTTCAGTTTTCGTAACAGTTCTTATGTTATTTAGAACCATCACACTTGCTCTACCTTTGGAAATTTTATAATTGAGTTTTGGCTAAATCTTTGTTGTATATGCCAGCAAATTCTAGCCATAGACATTAGATTGTGACCAAAGGCTTTTGCATTGAAGCAAATAGCTTGAGCTGTCTAAGTGTGCATGTCTGTGTACTCAGAAAACATCCCTGTGGCAGACATAAATTGGGTTAATAATACCTTGGATTTTCCCATGAATTCAACTTTCCTCCTGAGATCGATATGGTAGGATGTAAATGTGCCATAGACACAATTTTGTTCCCTCTGAAGCTGCCTGAATTGGTTGACTGTCATTTAAACACATTAAAGGTGCCCAAAAGCAAGCATCTTAATGGGCAGATTAGACCAAATCAGTCAAAAATGAAATAATGGCAGTCATCTTGTTTCTGTGAGTAACTCTACATCTGGACAAGTCCATCGTGACTTTTGTTATATTTGCAGTTATCAGCTGACAGTGATAGCTGACTGCTTCCAGGGAATAAGGTTGGGTTATTTTGCATGACTGCTCTTATTTCCCCTGGACCAGGTCAGATCTGGATTATTTCCTCTTCCATATATGTTAACATGAGCTTGATGGTCTGAGTAAACACGTTTACAAAAGAAAATCAGCTATGCCATCTAAATATATGTTCTGGTGCAGCCACGTTATGCAACTAGCTTTCACCTTCTTTTACCCAATATTAAACAGGGTCAATGGGTGTGTGATGCAAACTTGGCAATTGACCCCTAATGTTTTAAGGGCCCTAATCAGTAAATTAGTATTACAGCTGTACCTGTTAACTGCAGTGCTACAGGTCTCAACGCTCACAGCCCCCTGCAGTAGCCAATATAGGTTTATTACTGTATAACTGTCAGGTCTGGGAACTGGGGCACTAGGGACCGTGGGTTCCGTGATTTGCGGAGCTGTCCGGCACAGGGAACAGTGAGTGGCTGTACAGTAAACGTGGTGTGCCAGAGGTGCATGGTCTAAGATGAGCCTGGTCTTCTCCAGAGCCTCTGATGGTGAGGATGTTGTACGGCAGGGCAACTCCCAGGTTGCGGCCCTCTGACAAATGCTCAAAAGAAGTAGGAAGATAGGAAAGAGCAGACACTCTGGGGTTAAGAGAGGGCACACACAAGTGGATAGCAATCAGCAGACAGACAAGTATGGTCACTCACACCTCACAGGTGAATGCACAGCAATACTACAGGAAATCACAAGGGTCTGAGAGTAAACAGGGGCACACGGAACATCAAGGAGGGAACTGCCAAGCAGGAAATCCACAGGGGTACATGAGTAATCTAGGGGAACAAGGGATGCAGGAAAAACTCCAGAAACCCCGGTAAATAACAAAGTACACAGGAGGATCCAGCAGCAAGAAACAGACTCGTTGCTCGAACCCAGAGCAACAAGTGAGCTGAACCTAAATAGAAAAGGAAGTGAGAAGATTGGCTGCAGCCTTATGAATCCCCATAGGATGACAGCCAAGCACCTAGGACAGAGGGGAAAATCAGACATGGAACCTGGACAAAAGGGACGATCCGGCACGGTTACCAGACGAATGTGACAAAAACTACTGCTCTAATCAGACCTTTGTGTCTGTGTCGCTCCCAGCACCATTACAGGTAGCTTAGTCACCATTCACATGGAGCTTTAAGCTGCAGCTGGGGAATTCTGCGGCAAGAACCTGCAGATTCTTGTGGCAGGAATCCCTGGTATGTCCGTATAGATGTGTCCTCTGTGCCCTTAGAAGGTAATGACAGGCTGAGAACAGGTGCATCCGTCAGTGGTAGTTTGCATGTAATTGTACATGGAACGATTACCTGCGGTTCGGGATAGATGATTTTTCCTGGACACATAATAGCCCCTTGTGAATGCAGGCTTAGGGTGAGCTCAGCAGCCAGATCAACCAGGGAAAGCTCAAAGTAGGCAGCACCAGGCAAGCAAATAATCATGGGGAGATGGAAAGAAAATGAATAACGTAAAGCATATGGTATATTACAGACAGAAGATGTAAAAGTGGATGCGGGCTTTTTGGGCAATTACATTGGTGATGCTGATGGTTAAGCTAACCTCTCCAAGAGGATTTTACATTTGCAAGTATATACATACATGTTTATTAAAGGAATGGTTGTACTCCAGTAGCTGTATCCACAAGTGTCTTTTTCCTTTATCCTCCTTTGTCTTTCAAGGATGTTGTTGTAACATATGGAATTAATGTGGGATGATGTTTTAATGCGGCACGGCTCATTACAGTGAGTGGCAGACATGCCTTTGCATGTGCTGGAAATAGATATCAGGTGTTAAAGGCTCAGACGATGAAATAATTGGCGGTAAACTGGGAGGAACTGCAAGATGGAATGAAACAGAAAATGTACTTAATGAGCACTGGGTCTCTTCATTACCCACCAGTATATACATAAAACACGTGCACTAACATGGCATCCACTGAGGAGGCTTTCATCGCTCAACCCTTTTGTCAGAGCTTCTCTAATCAATGTCTCTCAGGCTCTACACATTGCCTTGAATTAGAGATGTCTCCTTGTCAATGTAGCTCCTTTTGCCTGTAGTAATTGTAATGCTATGGCTATTTCATTCCACCTTGTGATGAAGAATTCCATGAAGAGAGACAGGCACTGTGATATTTGAAGTGTGTGTGTCACTCCCATGTCCAGTTCTTTCCTCAGACCTAAAGATTTGCAGTGGGCTGAGCTTTGTTTTTTTTTTCTCTGCAGTGCTCTGTAGGCACATGTAGAATCCTTTAACGCCCAATTAACTTTAAGTTGTAATCAGTTTAATATATTCCATGCACATCCAAAACAAAATATATTCAGAGTCTTAAAGTGGCCATACACTGTTCGAACTTTGCACGTTGGGTGCCACTGCCTGCACCATTTGGCTGGCATCCCTCAACCAGCTGATTGAAGGAGTCCGTTGGAAAATCTTTGTGCGGATAGAGCTACCAAAGGAACAGCGGGAATTCCTCGATCAACCTGGTCGTAGTGATGATGGAGGAATCTGCTCTATTTTTTTGCATTCAGCCTGCGGGTTGAACAAAAAAATAGAGCAGTGTATAGCCATTTTTACAGTTCATTTTCTTTAGAAAGAAGCCAGAGCAAGGATAGAAATGTCTGTCAATGGATGCAGAGTAAGACCCTTGCTCTCTGTGGGGAAGCAGTGGTCTATCTGAGCGGAAAGGGTCAGTAGGCACTCAGAGGTCTTCCACTAGAGTAAACATATAAAAAGTAGGTTTATTTTACTTTGTATGTGTTTAATCCTGTGAAAGACCATTGAGTGCCTTCTGAACCTTTGCTACATTACTGCTTTTGTTTGGATCACCAAGGCCAATTATGTTTGGAGCACCAATTTTCTGGGCACCAGCCATCTAATTTGTCACAAAATTTGGGGGTTTAATAAGGAGTTGCGCTAATATTGCGCAACATAAAAATTTGCAACTACCACCATTTTATTCTATAGGGTCTTGGCATTCAGAAAATATATAATGTTGGGGGGTTTTAAGTAATTTTCAGGCCTAAAATGTGGAATATAACATGGGTACAAAAAATGAAAAAAAGGCCTCAGTCATGAAGGGGTTAAATAGAATATCTATCTAATCTATCTATCTATCTATCTATCTATCTATCTATCTATCCATCCAGAATAAAACTATATTACTGTACTGAACAGTTTGTATAATTAGCATGTTGTCAATTCCATTAGTGATCCTGAAGCTCCAAGTAATAGAAACATTTTTTTTTAAAACAAGAGACGAATAGCTTAGTATTAATATGTATCAGGCAGTCTTTCCTCTTTCCTTCACTCAGAAGAGGCTGACAAAAATCACATTAGTAATTTGTGTAATTGGCTAAACGTTGTATGATTTTGTTAGCATTGTTCGTGACAGTTGGCATAATGAATGCATCTCATAGCAGTGTGCCTTTCCTCATTAACTTTCAAATGTTTCCTTTTAGGTTTGCCACTGAATTTATTTTAGCTTTTTATGCTGCAATAATTTTACTGTTTATATGACAGTAATTAAAGTGATCAGTTAATTGCTGTTTATGAAAGTGAATATTCATAGACAGCATGACCTTATGTTGATACAGGTGAAGATTGGTTTCTTTTTTATAGTATAAATATCCTTATCCTTACTTCAAACAGCAACTTACACCACTGGTTACCATGAACACATTTGTCATTTTAATTGCTTTTTGAAAGGGTAAGTGTAGCTTTGGGCAATATTCCCCATAACAGCTTCCATTAGGCATAGGATGGACATTAAAACATTACATATCAAAGGGTTCCACCAAGCTGCAAAACTCTTTATTTGTACTGTATGATCTGGCTGCGACAGGCTCCTTTGCCATCGAGGTGGGAAGGGTAACCCAAGTGGAAGACAGAAATAAAACGACTAGATTGGATGACTCAGACCCTATCCCTGTTTTGTACTGTGGCACAGTAAGTGTAAACCAGGAATTCTGCAGTTCAGAAGTAGCCTTTTATTTTCATCATTTTAGTGTCTGTCCCATGCCTTTTGACTTTTCCTTATATTTGGTGGATTCTTGCTCAGTTTATGAATCAGGCATATTAAAGCCAAACCCAGCCAGTCAACTAACATTTTCAGAAGGAGGTGAGCAATGACAGCCTACAGTTGACACCCTTAACTCACAAGAGGCAGGTGTAAGGATCGCTAATGCACATGGCCGCTTTATTATTATTATTTCAGCTCAGAAGCACATTAGGCTAATGTCCGACTTGCAATCCTGCTTTTTACGAGAACCTGCATTGTAGGACACCGCAGGGAGGTGGAACTTTAATCTGCTTACATGTGTTGCCTCCTCATCAGCCGGATGAGCGAGA